GAAATGGGAGTAGGACTAATCGAAATGGATATCACTGGAGGGGATGGTTGGTAGAAATTACTGACATTTGTTGGAATTTTAATTCCATATGGTTTAAGAGTAGTGGATAGAGCAAGTTCGCTTATGGACTACACTTTAGTGGAGTTTATTTTGGTACATTGTGCTGATAACGGAGTTATAGCATGTGGTTATTCAATATGGAAGATAACCGGTGCTATGTCAAAGGAGCTTTTTGAAGGTGTTGGAGCAACAACTATGCTTCGCATCTCTAGACGGGAAATGGGATCGTGATATTCTATTTAATCATGGCATATAAGCTTAGGATACATATCCTAGGTTGGCATGGGTAATTGAAAGCGTTACTTACCGTTTCAGATATTATCTGTGCTATTGTTGGCACAAGGAGGTTCGTGCGACAATGTATGGGATTTTAGATAGTCGGGTTGTGTCGATCTCTTACTGGTTGGTCCGACATGGAAGCGAGGTTATCTAATAAGACCTTGACTTTATGTAAGGATACATTAGAGAACCATGCTCTCTTTTGGTAATGATTGCGCACGGTTTGGAGGCGGCAGTCGGATTTTGTAGATAGTTGAACTCGTACATGAGTGTTTTCTATCAGGAAATGGTTGTTGGGAGGACTTTCATATTGGAAACAATGTTTTGAGAGGAAGGTCAGTTTTGTGTCTTACACTGACTTTTCCAGGATGTTGTCACTCGAGTTAGGATGTAGCCTATTGTTTAGCGTTACTAAATAACTAGCGCTGGATGCATAGGACTTTTATGTGTTAGTTCTATGGAATTGGAAGGACGAGGGATGGTTACCCTTCATTAAATATTGGGTAAGATTGGATCGTTGCTAGATACAACCTAGGAGTTGTACATTTTTTTTACTATTTTTCTTTTACATAGAAACTTGGTATGTTGTTGATTATGTTAGGAATTTGGTGGAGCTCATATAAGCGGCTGTGCCACACGAAAACGGAAATGAATTCTGTAAAGTTATTAATTCAGAGTTTCGTGAATTCCGAGGACGGAATTTCTTTTGTTAGTGGGGAAGAATGTAATACCCTTAGTTTTCAAAAGGATAAAATGGGAATATTTTGGTTTGTTTTTCATTTTTATTTAAATTATTGGACTTATTTGTTATTTGGTTAAATTAGTTGATTTATTATTATTTTTGTGTATTTAATGTAATTGTTATATAGTGAATTGGTTTGTTTAATTGATTAAGTGTGAATTATTTATTTTAGATTAATTGATTTATTTTAATTATTTATTGGTTTTAAATTAATTGTTTAATTGAATTGGTATTTTAAATTAATTATTTATTTATTTTAATTTAATTAGTTTTAACTGACGTGTCTTGTTTATGACTTATATGGTTATATTTTAGGGTTATTTTAATTTAAGTTAGGGTTTCATTTATTCATGGTGTAGCCGACTGCTAAATTTAATTGAATTAAACATAGGTTAAATAATAGCCTATATATATATAAAACTGTATGGTCTGCTAGGGTTGGAGAAACAAAAAACAAAAACAAAACCCGATTCACGGAATAGTATTTTGAGAGGAAAACAGAAAGGGTTCTTGAGAGAATCTGTGAGGCTAATGGAGGAAGGATAGAGGACGAGCAGAGGAGTTGCTCGTGGGTAAGTTAAGAAACAACAGAGGAATAGAAGGTTTATCAAAGGAGGAAAACAATCTGGGGAATTCTGAAACGTAGAGACGGCGTAGAGGTTTTAATTCAAAATCTCATAGGCAAGTTTCAGACTATCTCTTTCCCCATAAACTTGTGTTCTGTGCATCTTATATAAACTCCAGGAACTTAATTAAACTATTAAAAACGGATTTTATGCATTGCTAGATGATTTCTGAAATCTGTTCTGTTTTTAAAGTTTAAACCCGTTGTTGCTTAAACTATTCTGTTGTGAGTTTAATTTCTGTCGTTTGATTTACACTGGAGTATGAGAGGTTCTAGGACTGTAAAAACTTAAATAGAATCCAAAGAATGCTACAAAAGTTTGGGATATGACACTGGACTTCGCCGGAAGCGAAGAAGAACTGAATTGGTTGTTTGCATAAACTGTTTTTGTCTTCAAATTAAATTTTTGCCAAACTATTCTTAGGGAAATCAAAGGAGTTTCTAGGAGTATTAGGGCTTAAATTGAACTCTTAAAATCCTTAAGAAACTTAGGACAGACAGTTGGAACTTCTGCCGGAAGCAAAGACGAAGCAGTGAAGCAGAGAGGGGCTCTCAGGGGTGAGAGCCGGCTCCTAAATGGTGGGAGCCGGCTCCCATGAAGAGAGAGCCGGCTCGCCATGAGGGAGAGCCGGCTCTAGAAGCCTAGGAGCCGGCTCCAATAAAGGGGAGCCGGCTCCCATGGGACAAAAACCCCTACGGGGTGTTTTCTGCAATTTTTTCGGAGTTCTGGGGTTAAACGCAAATACTGAAAATTAAAGGGGGTTTCAAATATGTTAAAATTAACCTATTAAGACCCTTAAATAGTTGGTTTATGCTAGGGTGCTAATCTTAAGGGGCATCAGGAAACAGAAACGTAGAATAGGCATGCTGTCAAGGAAGGATGAATGTTTAAGTTAATAAGTTTGTTTTAATAACTTAAACTGACTGGTATCGAATTACTTTTGGGATGTTATATAAATTATTTATATACTTTAATGGAGGCTAGAAAGTTCGGTGTAAGATATGGGCATAGACAGTATTAACTTAGATATTAAATGGTATGCTGTCAGGAGTAGTAGGAATTTTAGTTGCTAGTTTTGGTTTAGCGAACTAAATGGACTAGTATGGGAATACTGTTGGGGTTTCATATAATGAGCAGTTTGGAATTTAGAGTGTCATATTATATCAGGCACAGGTTTTGGAGTGGATGATCAAAGGGACGTCATGTGGTGTAAATGCTAACTTTCATGCTGTTAAGGATTGTGGAGGATTTAATTACTCGTCTTTGTATTGGCAATTTAAATAATATAGTATGAGAGGAGGGTTTGGGATATCTAGTATAATGTATTTAGTTCATATTTCTGACTGATCATTATAACAGGTTATGGATGTTAATTGATGAACTGTTTAACTTCTGTTTTATCAATTGTATGGATGTGGATAATATAAATTGTTTATCAATACTTTAACAATTTATTTGGAGGATTAATGATTATAATCATATACTGGATGCATAATAGGATCTTAATAAAATCTGTTTTCTATTATGCTGGTTTCTGGATTTATTTGATGTTCTAATGAATGTGCATCGTTTATGGATCATTTGCATTATATGTACCGGTATGGGACGGTGACATATCAGGGATGGATTAGATCAAAAAGCTAAGTCCTACCCCTTCTTACATACGGAATGGATTAACTAAAATAGTTAACTCCTACATGGATACATGTCCTGTCAACTAAAAAAGTTGAACGACATAATGGATACTTGTTTTATCTTTCGGCATTAGGAAGGAATTTATATATATATTTATGGTACTGTGATACGAGCTTGAGTCTCCTGATCACGGTTAGGGTGCGTATATCGCAAAGGTTGAGTAGCTAGATATAGCAAATGTTCCCTAGTAGGTCTAGGTACTTGGCCGCTGAAAAGCGTATTTTATATGTCACCTTCTACCCAGGCTGAACTATGTTATAGGCTAGTGAGCATCCTATAGTGTGTATTTATATATCTATGGACTATTGTAGATATTGCCGAGCTATCTAGGATGTATCTGCGTATCGGGTTTATGTACGGATTGTAGTAGGATGGAACTTGCATGTGGGCCTGACCCACCTTTATTTTTCAGGTGTTCGTGAGTACCAGGCTTAGGGTTTGATCGTGGTGATGCAGATACAGTCACTCACTCTTCCGACTACATAGGATTTTCTTTCTTATTTTGGTTTTGGATTTTAATTCTGTAAATGTTTTACCGGTTGGAAATATTAGGGGTCCACTAGATGGATTCCCAAGTTGTACGGATTTGAAATTTATTTATATTAAAACTTTTATTTTGGAGGTTTTACAATTAGAATTCTTTTCAGCGTATAATTATTTTATTCTTAATTCAGTTTTATTCTTGATTGTTTATATATTGATTGTCTGGTATCCTTCGGATCTGTGCCCGGACTTGATCACCCGTGGTTCTAGAATCGAGGGGTATCACACAATTAAACAAAAAATGACCTCAATTTTCTTAAGGATAACATGACAATTAAACAATTAATTAACCTCAATTTTTGAAAGATGAGTTGTCGTAATTTTCAACAAAGCTAGGATATAAATTCATTTAAATTTATATATATATATAGAAAAAATCTTCAAAAGTGGGTTAATTATAGTTGATATGCACATAACATCCCTTTATTATGAGAATATATATTACACACCTTATAGGGTATTTTCGAAAAGCTAAAAGGGCAAAACTGACATTAAAGCATTACTTTATGTCAAAAACCTATAAAAAAGAAAATGATTTGACGTGTATTTTCACACATTTTTTTTTAAAAAATAAGAGAATTAATAATATATATATTTTAAAAAAGGGGTCAAAGTGCTATCCGGAATATACTTTATCCTATTAGTTAATTGTGATACAAATATTTTGATAACAAATTAAATTGAGAATTTATAAATTGATTGTAAAATTTGATTAAGTTATAGATGATTAAATAGTAAATTATCAAGAACTAAATACGCAAGAACCGTAGTTTGTAAATTTATAGTGGGTCGTTATCAAAATAAATAAAAAAAATCCTTTTTATAAATTTGAGTATTTTGACAATTTAAATAAAAAAAAACTTTAAAATGAGAGCCGATATTATTATTACTTTTTATTTTTTAATTTTCAAACGAGAGCAGGGATGGAATACCAACAAATAAGTTATAACTAAACAATTTTAGTGGTGGACAAGAGGTGGGCCCCAAAACCTATTTTGTTGCCATTATGGTCGAGAATAAAATGTTTAGTACAGAGATGATGAACAAGTTGGCGGGGGTTTACTATTAAAAAATCAAAAATCAAAAATGAAAAAAATGGATTGGCGGGTTAGAAAGAATAAAAGAATATATATATATATATATATATATAAAAGGGAAATATGATCACTTTTTGCAAAAGCTTTTCTTGTTTTCATCCTCTCTCTCTAACGTCGATTCGTTTGTTTTCTCTCTTCAATTCACTCGTTAGTTCGATTTGTTGGTTTTCGAATTCAATCCAAATTAAGCTGTCGAGACTGGAGAGTTTGGGTATGATCGGGCAGCAGACCAATAGACATATTTTGCGTTGAAATTAGGGTTTTAATTTTAATTTCTTAGCTTCGGTTTCACGTTCAGTGTTGTTTGCTTCCGGAAAGTGTAAAACCAAACATGGAGGAGAATTCTGGGGTTGGTGAACAAACAAGTCAACAAGATGAAGAAGATTCTCCCGACCACTGTCATCAGGTGAGAGAATTATATACGTGTGTGTGTATGTGTGCTGTCAATTGATTGTAACTAAGCTTTTTTTTTTCCTTCTATTATGGAGCTGAAAATAGAAATGAAATATATATTTTTGTTGGTGCTAGCGGTGTACTCTTTTTTGGGTACTTGTAAAGATTTTTTTTTTGTGAATTCTATTGTGATATTTAGTGGGGTTTTGGACTCACCTTTAGCTGCAGATTGACTTGACTATTGTGACCACCAAAAATTGGCAGGCATAGGTCACCGAAGAGAAAAACATTGACATAGTCACTGCTTTACATTTGTTTTGACTTTTTATTTTTATTTTTATTTTTATATATATATATATATATATATTTATTTTAGGAGGAAAAGGAAAAAAAAAAAACTGTTGTAGGCTGATTTTTGCCTGTGGGGAGGTGGTTTCTCAAGAGAAGTTGTTGATGTGAAATACATAATTAATTGCAATGCGAAGGCCTATTCATTATTGTGTCTTTGGCAAACTAGTTGGAAAAAAGAGTAATATTAGGCTGAAGCAGTTGTAAGGGGCCCTTCCCATTTAATGCTCTACTAGGAGTACAATTAATGAGAAAAGTAGCTGTAAGAACCGCCATGTGCTTGTATGACTTCAGCACATTCATACCACTTAAAAGATATCGAACAAGTGACATTAGTTGACGGTTTTTACGCTCTGCCACACCATTAAGTTCAGGGTATATGGACAAGTAAGTTGATGAAGAATACCCTGTTGGTTAAGTTGAGATCGAAACTCATTGGAAACATATTCACGACCATTGTCAAACCTAATATTTCTAACAATAGTTTTATATTGAGTTTTGATTATTTGGAGGAATTGAGTGAACAAGGGAAAAACTTCAGATTTCTTTTTAAGTAAATATACGCATGTGCAGTTGGAATAATCATCAATGAATGTGACATAATAACGATGCCCCAAAAAAGCAGTAGCAGGAGAAGGACCCCACACATCAAGATGTACGAGATCAAACATACTAGGTGCACGACACATATAAGAAATATAACTGGTTATAGTATGTTTAGAAAGCTCACAAATCTCACATTGAAACTTATTATCCTTACAAGCCGTTATTAATGAAGGGAAAAACAGACGTAAATACTGAAAGTTTACATGCCCAAGGTGAGCATGCCATAAATTTGAAGTCTAAAAAGAAAAATCATAAGACCTAGAAACTGGATGAACAGAGGCTTGAAGGCTTGAAGCAAGTGGAGGCGGTGTCAGTGGAGGATCCCTAAAGTAGTAGAGGCCATCGTGCTCATATCGCCTGCCAAAAATCCTCTTTGAACACAGATCATGTAAAACTCAGTAATGAGGAAAGAAAATCACAGTTTAGTGATTTGGCAAGTTTGCTAACAGATAGAAGATTAAATGCAAAGTTAGAAACACGAAGAACAAATGACAAAATAATATCAGGGGATAGATGAACATCTCCTTTATTACGAATAATGGTGGTTGACTCTTCGGTTAGGCTAACAACCCGATTAACAGGGGTAACAAGAGTAGAAAATAATGACAACTCACCAGTCATGTGATCATTGGCTCCGGAATCCAGAACCCAAGTAGGTTTTACCACTTTAATATGAAAAGCAGAAGGAGTACCTGTAGCTATAGTAGCTGTGGGATTAGAAGAGCCAGCCCTGGTAGATAAAGCTCTGAATTGCTCCTGAAGCTGACTAATCTGGGACTGTAACTAATTTGAAGTCTTGAAGAGATGGTCTGGGAGGAGTTGAAGCAGGAGGGACAACAATCTGTGGAGTAGTATACCCACCAATAGTATCAGTTACTGTGGCAGTGCGGCCACGGCTAGAAAGACGATTGGGAGAAAATTTCTGCTTTAGCTCGGGATGAAGCTTAAAGCAACGATCCTTTACATGACCCGTGGCTCCATAATGTTGACAAATAATCTTTCCCTCCGAAAGTCTAGAATTAGTAGCAAGAACCATCTGATTAACTGGAGTCTCTGGTAAAGCTATTGGCTGAGAGATCTGACGTCTGTACTCCTCATGGTCAACAGTAGCGAAGGCATCATATAAATCAAGCATAGGAGAGATGTTTAGATTTGGGTTCTAAGAGCATCATACTCAGATCTTAAACCCATAAAAAACTGGTAGGTATGTTGGCAGTCCAGTCTCTTAACCAAAAGAGTTGCAACTTCTTCAGAGAAATCGGAGAGAGGTTTATATTGTGCTAATTTTTCCCACCTAGACTGGAGGTACCCAAAATACTCTGATACTGACAGCTTGAGGGTCTCCTGAGATGCATGAGCAATCTCCTGATAGAGTTCAAAGATACGAGTGTCATTGCGGGAATGGGCATACATCTTGTAAAGGGCTTGCCACATTCGAAAAAGGGAAGTGTGAAACATGAACATATTATATATATGCTCCTCCATTGAGTTGAAGATCCAACCCAAAATGGTGCACCTGTCCATGTCCCATGCAATATATTTAGTATCTTTCTTTTCTGGTTCCTTGACTAGACCCAAAAGCCAACTAGTTTTCCCTTTCCCTCCAATATAGAGTTGAAGAGAATGGGGACCAAGATACGAAGTTGTGCCTATTCAAGAGCACACTAGTAATCCGCTGTGCCGGTGTATGATGTGCCGAAGATAAAGTATGTTGGCCCGAGGATAAAGTGTCCTTTTGGCTACTGGAATTAGTCATAGTACCAAAATAAGGCCGGAAAAATCGGCACTTTCCTCCAAATATGTTGTCGAACAAACATCGGCAGCCCACAAAGAAAAAAAAACACCAGAAGGACCCTTAGGTCATAAAAAACCTAAGGGAATTGTTGAAAAATCTGCCAGAAGACTTCCAGCTTATATAGGCTGGCACAGATCTGCCAACTTCTAGAAGATATACAGCCTGTATAGGCTGACACAAATGTCCAGTTGTAAATATTGACTATCTAGGATTTAGTTGACTTTTTCCATATTAGTTTAGTTGTCTTTCGTTCTGTCAAAATTAGGAGATTGTAAAATTCTGTATATATATGTTGTCATTCTATGTAGAAGAAGAAAGAAAGTATTCTCTCAAATTTGAGGTTTGAATGCAAACATGGTATCAGAACTAGAAAATTTACTACTTTAATCGTCTTCTTTCTTTCTTCTGTGCCTTCATTGCCCAAGGTATATTTTCCAGATTCATTTAAAATCAATATTGACCTTCATTGTCAAGACAGATTTCCTTAATTCGGCCTTCATTGCCTTTCCTTCTATCCTTCATCCTGTTGATTAGGGTGATTTTCGTTCATTTCTTTAGATTCAAGTCTTCCCTACCTCTTTATCATGTTGGGTAAATCAGAAGTTAACTCCTCTGTTACAAATCAGTCCACAAACCAACAGTCTGCTCCTAGTGAATTCCAGAATATATCAGCCATCTTCAAACTCAATGGAGGGAACTATTTAGAGTGGTCACAGTTGGTAAAAACCTATATAAAAGGGAAAAGGGAAATTGAGTCATCTCATTGGACCGATGGTGAGTAAGGATGATCCTAAGTTTGTTGCTTGGGATAAAGAAGACTCTTAGATCATGTCATGGTTATGGAACTCGATGCAGCCAGAAATAAGCCGCACTTTTATGTTTCTCCCAACAACAAAGGAAATTTGGGAATCTGTATGTCAAACCTACTCCAAACTGAGAGATGCAGCACAAATCTTCGATCTCAAGACAAAGATCCATAACACAAAGCAAGGTAATCTTTCTGTTACCGAGTACTATAATGTTATAAAAGGCTTACGGCTCGAGTTAGATCAATACCAGAATCTTAAAATGAAGTGTAGCACAGATGCCACATTGCATCAGGAGTTTATTGAAAGAGAAAGAGTTTTTGATTTCTTGGCGGGTTTAAATATGGAGTTAGATCAAGTAAAGGTTCAAATCCTAGGGAAAGAACCACTACCTTCCTTGAATGAGGCCTTTGCAATTGTAAGGGGAGAAGAAGGCCGTAGAAGTGTCATGTTAGAAAAAGGAAAATTTGTAGATAGTTCTGCCTAACTATCTCCAAGCAAAATAAAATGGAGGCGTGGCTGCCAATGTTGCAAATTCTGGAAGATTTGAGGGTAAGAAACCGATTGATAAAGATTCCCTTTGGTATAGTTATTCCCGGAAGAATAGAAACACCAAGGAGACTTGCTGGAAACTTCATGGTAAGCCTCCAAATTTTTTGGGAAAGGAAATGGAGGCAGAGGAGGAAATTCAGGCTACAAACCGCAAGCCAACTATGCTGAAACTGGAAGGAAACAGCCGGAAGAGACTGCTGGCCGAGAAATGGAGTACAATAAAGAGGAGATAGATAAACTCAAACATTTTATTTCACGACTAGAAAAACCTGAGGGGTACAGCCATTTTGCACAAACAGGTAAGTATTCTCTAGCTCTAAGTGCCACTAAAAATCAGTTTTCTAGTCCTTGGATCATAGATTCAGGGCTTCAGACCATATGACCAATTCATCAATTTTTTTCTCAACTTACAGCCCCTGTCCAGGAAATCAGAAAATAAAAATTGCTGATGGAACGTTAGTCACTATAGCCGGTCGAGGGAATATCTCCTTAACTCCGTCCTTAAATTTAAAAAATGTTTTACATATTCCCAAACTATCAGTGAATTTATTGTCCATTTCTCAGATTACTAAGGATCTTAACAGTTCAGTGACATTTACATCACATAAATGTGTTTTTCAGGACCTTCTTACGGGGAAATTGATTGGGCATGCTAGAGAAAATGGGGGACTATACTTCCTTGAAGCTGAAAGTGGCACAGTAGATTCTAATCCTCTATCCTACCTGTCAAAAGGCCCTAAATCTGATGAGGATCAAGTTTGGTTATCCCATTTTTGTCTTGGTCATCCACGTTTCTTATTGTTGAAAAAAATGTTTCCTGCTTTATTTGAAAAACTAAATGTTCAAAACTTTCACTATGATGTTTGTGAGTATGCTAAACATCATCGTGCGTCATTTCCTTTGAGTAATAAGAAAAGTTTTGTTCCTTTTAGTTTGATCCATACCGATGTTTGGGGACCTACCAGAGTTCACAGTGTTTCAGGGGTAAGATGGTTTGTTTTATTTGTTGATGACTGAACGAGGTTTACACGGGTATACCTCATGAAACAGAAATCGGATGTTAGCACTATCTTTCCCATTTTCCACAAAATGGTAAAAACCCAGTTCGATGCCAAAATCCAAACATTGAGATCAGACAATGGAAACGAATATTTCAATTAATTCCTCACACCATATCTCCAAAAAGAAGCAATCATTCATTATTCTTCGTGTAATGATACTCCACAACAAGATGGGGTAGCCGAGTGCAAAAATAGACATTTACTAGAAATTACAAGGGCTCTAATTTTTCAAATGGATGTTCCAAAGATTTTTTGGGGAGAGGCTGTTTTAGCCGCTACTTGCCTCATCAATAGGCTACCCTTGAGTTCTCAACTACATTAGTCCCATGAATCTCCTCTCTAGTTACTTTCCACACTTTGATGGTTTTAGCCGAATTCCTCCAAAAGTGTTTGGGTGTGTAGCCTTTATTCATATTCATACTCACCAACGAACTAAACTTAATCCTCGAGCTCTTAAGTGTGTATTTGTCGGCTATTCTTCTACAAAGAAGGGTTATAAGTGTTATCATCCGGCTTCTCGGAAGTTTTTTGTGACTATGGATGTAACCTTTAATGAACAACCACCTTTCTTCACTAATCCTTATCTTCAAGGGGAGCCTTTTGCAGAAGATAAGGAATTTTTTCCTGTCCTAAATGACTACACAAAAGCTGTGGTCCAACCTGAGAAATCAGATTTTATACCTCAAACAGCTCCTGAAATTGAACCTAAACATCCACAAGAACAACCAGGCCTTGAATATTATCAACAAAAGCGAGAGAGGGAGGATCATACAGTGCCACTCAAAGTATACTCAAGGAGGATGCAACCAGAACCAGAATCTCTACATGCTCCAGTTATTGAACCGGAAAAAGGTACTGTTTCCAACTCTAATGTTCTTGATGATCTTGATCTGCCCGTTGCCCTTTGGAAAGGAAAAAAACAATGTACTCAGCGTCCTTTGACCAACTTTGTTTCTTTAGACAATCTATCCTTTCCATATCAAGCCTTTGTCTCAAAATTGAATTCTATAGAAACACCCAAAACTGTTCAAGAGGCACTTAGAGATGAGAATTGGAGGAAAGCTATGAAGGAATAAATGAATGCACTAATGAAAAATAATACATGGAAGATGATCTTCCGGTAGGAAAAAAGGTGGGGTGCAAATGAGTGTTCACAACTAAATTCAGGGCAGATGGAACACTAGAGAGGTATAAGGCAAGATTAGTAGCAAACGGCTATACTCAGACTCATGGAATTGATTATCATGAGACTTTTGCACCTGTTGCAAATATGAATACTATTCGTATCTTGTTATCCTTAGCTACTAATCTTAATTTGCCGTTGCAGCAATTTGATGTAAAGAATACTTTTCTACATGAAGGCTTGGAAGAAGAAGTTTATATTGAAGTGCCACCAGGTTTGGAGGAAAAATTCAAGGAGAACAAAGTTTGCAAACTCAAGAAAGCTTTATATGGCCTTAAGCAGTCACCAAGGGCCTGGTTTGGAAGATTTGCTAAAGCAATGAGGAACTTGGGGTACAACCAAAGCCAAGGGGATCATACATTGTTTATCAAACATTCAAAGATGGACATGGTAACAACCCTTATAGTGTATGTCGATGATATTGTTGTAACAGGTTATGACTTTGAGGAAATGGAGATACTAAAAGAGCAACTAGCAAAAGAGTTCGAAATTAAAGATCTAGGAAAACTCAAATACTTCCTAGGGATCGAGGTTGCACACTCTAGAGAAGGGATTGTAATTTCACAGCAAAAATACGTCCTAGATTTACTAAGGGAAACAGGGATGATAGGATGCTGACCAGCAGAGACCCCAATAGAGCCATGTCAGAAACTTTATGAGGGAAGAGAAAACATTCCAGTAGATAAAGAGAGATCTCAATGCCTAGTGGGAAAATTGATATATTTGTCACACACAAGACCCGATTTAGCTTATACGGTTGGTGTGGTAAGCCAGTTCATGCATGATCTCAAGGAAATACATATGGAAGCAATCTTTAAAGTGCTACGATATTTGAAATCATCACCAGGCAGAGGTATTCAGTTTCGAAAAACAGGAAGAATGGTCCTAGAAGCCTATACAGATGCTGATTGGGCAGGGTTTGTTACAGATCGAAGGTCAACATCAGGCTAGTGTACGTTCTTGGGAGGAAACTTAGTAACTTGGAGAAGTAAGAAACAATTTGTAGTGGCAAGGTCTAGTGCAGAGGCGAAATTTAGAGCTATGACACATGGGATATGTGAACTTCTTTGGATAAAAATAATACTAAGTGATCTTAGAATTAGATGGGAAGGGCCAATGAAACTCTAATGTGATAACAATTCAGCAATGAGCATAGCTCATAATCCAGTACAGCATGACCGGACCGAGCATGTGGAAGTGGATCGTCATTTTATAAAAGAAAAACTTGACAAAGGACTGAGCTGATATCTTCACGAAGGGACTCTCAACTGAGTCATTTCAAGCAATTATAAGCAAGCTGGGAATGAGTAATATGTATTCACCAGCTTGAGGGGGAGTGTTGGAAAATCTACCAGAAGACTTCCAGGCTGGCGCAGATCTGCCAACTTCTAGAAGATGTACAGCCTGTATAGGCTGACACAAATGTCCAGCTGTAAATATTGACTATCTAGGATTTAGTTGACTTTTTCCATATTAGTTTAGCTGTCTTTCTTTCTGTATATATATGTTGTCAATCTATGTAGAAGAAGTAAGAAAGTATTCTCTCAAATTTGAGGTTTGAATCCAAACAGGAATTCTCCTTAAAAAGGAGTAAAAAACAGAGGGTTACCCAAGGGGTCTGGCGCAAGGGCTGGCAGGAGATGGAGGTTTGCCGGAGGTGAGGGAAAATTGAGAGAGAGAGAGAGAAGGTGGCGGCGTTGGGGAGGCGAAGGTTTTTGTTTTGCTCTGATACCAAAAAGAAGTTTTGGGTTTTGGCTTAGTCAAACTGAGAGCCAAGAGCTATATTTATATACAATAATAGGGTACAAAGAAAGGAAACCAAATCAAAGAAAAACAGGAAATTGTCAAAATCTACATGATCCCATGATTATGGGAATCTTATCTACTTGATCCCATGATAATAGGGATCTTACATAAAACACCTAATAAAAATAAAAATAATACAGATATTTCAACAATCACAAATGAATATCAAATAAATAAAAAGGAAAATATCATGCGATGGCTTTTAGGCCAACTATATTGTATGGAGTATAGTGTTGGGCGTTGAAAAAGAAACAAGAACAACAAATTCATGTAGCGGAAATGAGGATGCAATAACAGATGATGATAGGACTGACTAGAAGTAATAAGATTAGAAATTAAAGAAAACTAGGAATAACGCCTATTATTGATATATTAGAGAAAATAGATTTAGGTGATATGATTATATACATCGTGGATCCAAAAATGCATTGGTCAGAAGAGGAAAAGTTGTTTGTGACAAAGAGGCTGACAAAAAAATATGGGATGAAGTAATTAAAAACATTTTAAAAAAATTAAATATTAGAGGAGAGCTATGTTACATGGACTCTTCAAAAGTATGGAGTATAGTGTTGTTAATGATTGTGGTGTCAAATATATCATATGTATTTCCAAGTATATGGAACATTTCATTCTCTCATTTTCTTTTGCCTGTGCATCCATAATTGTCATGGTTACAGTTGTATCTTTTAAATCAACTGCACACCTTCTGAGTTTTGTCTGTATATGGAATCAGAAAGAAGAAAGAGAAGAATCCTCGTTAGCGCAGCACCATTCAAGACGGCCGAATCTCTCGTCTCTGCAAATACCCACAAGGTCCCTGGATAATACACTCTCTAATTTTACAAGGATAGATATCCCTTTGGTGCCAAGTCCCAGTTCTAGCAGATCCGGACTGCCCCCTAGACCAAGTTCAGCCATGAGTTTCAGATCGTCAATAAGAAGTCTTCTTCCTCAAAGAAGCTTCAGGGTAAAAAATTTATCCAAGGATGGTGAGAAGACGGTTCTCATCTTCCCAGACACGCAACCGTCATCAGATAAGCCCTCGACTTCGAGGTCGTTTTCTCTCAACAAGGTTCTTTTCTCTACAACAAAATCAGCACATTCTTTACCGGTGACACCGATTGCTAATTCAGGTCCTGAGTCTGCACAGGAAAGGAATTTGGATGGCCATTCTGATTTTTCAGTATGTTTCATTTGTTCATTCATTCTTTCCCTGTTTTAATTACTTAATAAATTAAAAATCATTGTGCTTCTTGCTAGTCTTTCATTGGATTAACAAGAGTTGTGTATGGTGGTTTTTTTCTTACGTCAGATGATTACAAATGTCCTTAATACATTTCTTTGTACTCTGCAAAGTTAAATTTGTATTCTTACAGAAACCAGCAGGTCAACAGCAAATGATGCGCTCATTTTCGGTTCCTGTAAATGTGAAAACCAAAAGCTTAAGGCGGACCGATTCAACTGGAGGTTTGATCCGTGTAATACTGGCCACCCCTCGTCCTGCAATGGTTGAAAGTGCCTCACCAAATAAATCTCTGGAGACAGAAAGAGGTACGTGTTCCTTTCCACTGTTTGTAAAAAAAATTGAACATGATAAATTTGATTTGTACTTACTAGGTGCAGTATCACATTGGACGTTTTCTAAATCTTCCCATAACATGGAACGCTCTACTTCTTTTGCCTTTTCATCGCATCTCATCTCATCTCATGATTGACTATCATTTTCTTGCACCTTGTTTAGGAATTGTATTGTCTTTGGCTAAATTAATAGATATCTGATCCAATTCAGCCTGCTGAATGCCTAAACCACCATTCTCTGTTGGAAATAGAAGCAGACAGAAATTTATCTGCACAACAATGGTCAATGAATGAGTAGAAATACAATATAGAAGAAAGATAAGAGAAATATGTAAAAGGTTTGAATGAGATGTATAAACACTCATTCACAACTCTCATATTTATACACTAAAAAGAGCACATGTTAATATTACAATAAAGGAAACTAAATAAAATCATTGCATATTCTGTGCCTAGACATATGCGTAAATAAAGTCAAATTCATGATTTGCGCCTATCATATCTCGGCTAACACTCCCCCTCAAGTTGGTGCGTGGATGTCTGAGACGCCCAACTTAGACAATGCATCCTTAAACACGATCTTGCCAACACGTGCAAAATTGATTAGCGATGCTTTTCTGTCAAATGAAGTGCCGATCAACAAATCAAAGTGTCTCCTTAGACCATAAATATTCAACAATGTCTCCTCAGACCCAAAACAACCAACAATGTCTCCTCAGACCCAAAACAACCAACAATGTCTCCTCAGACCCAAAACAACCAACCATGTCTCCTCAGACCATTTCCCTTCACATGTTTAAAATATGTAGATGAAAGAATCAACAATGTCTCTTCAGACCATTCCCCTTCATACATATGTTTAAACAATGTAGATGAAAGAATCAATAATGTCTCCTCAGACCATAAAAAATAATAACTATGTCTCCTCAGACCATAAAAAATAATAACTATGTCTCCTCAGACCATAAAAAGGAAACGACTGTCTCCTCAAACCGTTTCTGAATGGGTGGTGCCGAGGTCGGACCGCCCTGCCTACCTGATACCTCTCGGATGGCCATTAGACCATTCCCGAATGGGTGGTGCCGAACTCACAATGCCCTCATTGCAGTCGGACCACCCTGGCTCTGATACCAATTAGAAATACAATATAGAAGAAAGAGAAGAGAAATATGTAAAAGGTTTGAATGAGATGTATAAACACTCATTCACAACTCTCATATTTATATACTAAAAAGAGCACATGTTAATATTACAATAAAGGAAACTAAATAAAATCATTGCATATTCTATGCCTAGACATATGCGTAAATAGTGTCAAATTCATGATTTGCGCCTATGATATCTCGGCTAACAGAATGTCTCATTTGAGAAATTGACTTGTTGGATCAGTGTATATATATTAGTTTTATTTGATTGAATTCATTGGAACATAATCTATTCGATTGGAAAGACATGGAGGATCCCAAGATTTATTTTTGGTTCACTGAATTGAAGAGATATTCTCTAGTCAGTACTTAAAGTTTAGCAAAATCCTTCTGAGAGATCGACAAGCTAGCTAAAATGAAGGATAAATTTTATCAAGTTTGCCAATCACTTTTCGTTTTCCCATTTTTTTTTTGTTCATTAAGTTAAATAAACTAAGAACTTATATGTGTGTACTTGCATATTTAGGAATTTATTGCTTTTAAGTTGCTTGGATATGCATGATTCAGTTGATGAACATGTGGTATGATACTTGTGGTTGTCGAACATGGGTTGCCATTCGCCATTAGAATTTGTTATTACCCTCTGTAAGTTCGTGAGATCGCTACCTTACACTCTAATATGATATAGTGTGAGCAACCATCACCTGCCTATCGATGGAAGCAGGCCTTATTCCTATTGAGAAATGATCCTTCCCATACAATTCAGTTTCGTGACAAATCTCACCTTATTCCTTCTCAAAAACCATAACCAAAACCCCCTGCCATCCACAACAGAAATGGATAGCCAAATGCTGAACAACCGCTTTAAAAACTCAAAAGAAAATCCTGATCCTATGGAACGCCGGGAAAGCACCGCCGTCCAGAATCCAATCAGACAGAAGCATAAGAGGAACAGGATTACCTGTCACCGATCATCTTTGGCGACGGCTAGACCAAAAACAGAATGAAAATAAGAAAGAGTGAAAACCCTAGAGAGAGAAAGATAAGAGAGTGAAGCTCTCTAGCATATCGAGTAGCTAACCCTGCCTTTATTACTTATTTTGATTCTTGTTCATTTTGGTATTTTTATTAATGATTTTTATATAAATTATATCTGAGGTTTGAGGGATGTGATGGATGGCATTATTTTAGAGTCTCGGAGTGCTTTTGTTTGTGGGTGCTACATACTGGACTCATCTCTCATTGCCACTGGTTGTGGATTCTAGACTGAACAGTGGTTCCTGAGCCTGGGATGCTTTGCAAGCTTGATATTGAGAAGGCGTATGACAACGTGAGTTGGAGCTTCTTGTTTTACATGATGGAGAGGATGGGGTTTGGGGAGAGGTGAAGGAGGTGGGTGCAGTTCTGTGTTTCCTCAGTGTGCTTCTTGGTCCTTGTGAATGGGTCTCCATCTGGTTTCTTCATTAGTTAGCGGGTGCTGAGGCAGCTGAGGCAGCTGAGGCAGATGAGGCAAGGGGATCCGTTCTCTTCCTTTTTGTAAATTATTGTGTTGGAGGTGCTCAGTAGATTGATGAGGAGGGCAGTTGAGTTGGGATTTAATAGAGGCTTCAGAGTGTGCAGAGATTCCTCTAGTCAGTTGAAGATTCCTCACTTATTTGCAGATTTCCAACTTGTTTGCAGACGACACCGTAGTCTTCTGCGATGCAGTTGAGTCTCAGATGAGATATCTGAGGTGTGTATTGATTTGTTTTCAGGCATTCTCTGCCTTGAAATCAATGTGAGAAAGAGTATACTGGTTCCAGTAGGGGATGTTGCGGAGATTTCCATCCCTGTTAACATTTTTGGGTGTGTAGTTGGGTCCTTCCCTATTTCTTATTTGGGATCGCCACAAGGGTTGCCTTCGAGGTGAGTGGGAGGTTGGGATCCCATGGTTAAGAGGTTCGAGAGAAGGCTAGCGGGGTGGAAGAAGCCATATCTTTTGAAGGGCAGGAAAGTCACCCTCATGAAGAGAACCTTGTCACGTCTTCCTACTTACTTTCAATCTCTCTTTCAAATTCCATCCTCGCTGAGAGGATTGAGAGGCTCCAGCTAAACTTCCTTTGTGGAGCTTTGGGAGAAGAGTTTAAGTACCATCTTGTTTGCAGGGAGCAGATTTATAGGCCGATCCAGTTGGGAGGGCTGGGAATTAGAAGGCTGATGCCTTTCAATAAGGCTCTTTTGGGGAAGTAGCTGTGGAGATTCGGGAAGTAGAGACAGAGACTTTGGAGGAGAGCATGTTATAGATATGGGGAGGAGATGGGAGGCTGGAGGTATTTGGAGGTGAGGATACCTCGGGGTGTAGTGTTTTGGAAATTCATCCAAAAAGGGTTGGATGGATTCTCTAAATATCAGGTTCAAGGTCGGAGATGGTAGGAGCATTCGCTTGGGGAGGAATCTTGGTGTGGCGATCGTTTGTTGGCATGCACCTTTCCTATGCTTTCCGGATTGCTTGGGAAAGACTCGCCTCAGTTGACTGTTATCGCCTTGATAGTGGAAAGATGACTTGGGATGTGCACTTCTCGAGACACTTTCACAATTGGGAATTGGATGATGGAATTGGTTTTCTTTAGCTTCTTTATCACTAGGAGGTGGATGGTGGTAGGCCCAACTCCTTGGTGTGGGTGCCTTCCTCACAGGTGAGGTTTGATGTCCGCACTTTTTATACAAGCTTGTCAGATTCTTTGGGGCCTCCCTTCCTATGGAAGGTCGTATGGTGTCCTAAGGCCCCTCTTATGGTTTCCTTTTTTTGCCTGTACAGCTGTCCTGGGGAGGATTCTTACGCTGGACAATTTAAGGAGAAGACAGATTGTTGTAAATTGGTGTTGCATGTGCAAAAGTGACGGTGAGTCGATTGATCACCTCTCTTGCTCATTGTCCAATGGCGAGGGATTGTTTAGAGTTGCTTTTGGGGTTGTTTGGGGTCCAATGGGTTGTGCCTTTGTCCTCTAGCGACATGATTGAGGCTTGGAGAGGTTGTATAGTGGGATCCCAAGCCTGTGACTATTGGAGGGCACCCTTGTGTTTTTGGTGGTGTTTGTGGAAGGAATGGAATAGGAGATCTTTTGATGGCGAGGAATCTCCTATTGGAGTGCTGAAATTTTCCGTTATTTGTTCTCATTTTTGTTGGGTCCTTGGGAGAAATTGTAAAGCAACGGGATAGATAGTAGATATTATGGACATATTGAGAGTTTAGGGGCCCCATTTGGCCATTGTGCTGCTTTTGCGGGATGCATTCCCCGTTTGAACGCCTTCTAATACAATCTTTAAAAAAAAAAATCTGAGGATTGATAATGTAATCTTGGTGTAAAATTGCTCCAGGGTATTTTATTTTCATTAATATGACTGAACAAAGAACTGAAAATTCTGTTGTATCTCCCATCAGTAGCTGAATAAAAACCAATAAAAATGCACTGTACCTTGTAATTTATTTAGAGGGTGAAGTTAACCAAAAAATCCTGCGGCATAATAATGTGTTCATAAATTGGTCGAATCAACTTGTAGCTGAAAATTCTTGGCCATATTACACGATTTCTTATAGTAATAGGTATGCCACCTGATAGCAAAATCTAAAGTTTCTACTCTGGATCATTTGAGTTCTAGTTATGGGCAAGTTTGACATACCTTCCAAAGAATTTCTGATCAAGTACGGTTGTAAAGCAGTCACCAACTTGAACTTTGCATTGCATGAGTTAGATATCTTTTGTGATGCATCTCTGCAAATATCGATGGATTATTTTTCACTCAACTCATAAAACATAAGCAATCAATCGCTTGCATATTTTATTTTTGGAATTTCTTGTTAACTACTTATTGTATCTTGTTCTCTTTACAGTCAATGAAGATACTGCTGAAGACATTCCCGAGGAAGAAGCAGTTTGCAGAATTTGTTTGGTTGAACTAGCAGAAGGAGGTGAAACTCTTAAGATGGAGTGCAGCTGCAAAGGAGATCTTGCACTTGCTCACCAAGAATGTGCTATCAAGTGGTTTAGCATCAAAGGAAACAAAACCTGTGATGTTTGCAAGCAGGATGTTCAGAATCTTCCAGTGACATTATTGAAAATACAAAATCCTCAGACTCAAATGAGACGGCCGGCAACTGTACTACAGCAGAGAGAAGTCAATCGGTACCGGCAAGTCCACTAAACTTGGAAAAGTTAAATACATATTAACATCTTTCTTTGTCATTGTCTTTTTGACAGATCATTTTTTTCTGTACAAACATACAATTAATTCATGAAGGGGGAAATTTTATTTTCTTAGAACTTAGGGTAAAAGGAAAGGGTAGAAACTCTGCATCCCATCAACATCCTAATCAAACTGCATATAGCCTTCCCTGAAAGGGATCCCTTTTCTTGGGTTTTGAATGAGGTGATGCACATTAAAGTTATGAATTCCCAAGAAGAGCAGTTGTGGTGATCCCCTTGGACTACCTGGATATCATAAGTGAATTGAAAGTTGGACCTACATTGGATCTTGCCAGTAAGTAAAACTAAAGACAATGAAATTAAAAATGATATCCAGACATTCACAGATCAAGAAGAAAATAAGGGACAAAATGAGTGATGGTACAACTTTTCACCAAGCCTTTGAAGGTCTGTCAGGTTGCACACCGTCTAAGCCACAATTTGAACAAAATATTCAAATATGAGAGATCTGGCAATCTTTTGAGTGATTGACAAGCTCGAACGGATAATTCAACCAAACTTGAGGGTAACCCATAGATGGGTTGAAAATATTCACACAATTCTATGATGAGCACCTTTGGCTGAGAAAAGCCACTAACCTCTTTTGGTAGGGCCCTAATTTTGCTATTTTTTAAGCTCAATGTCTCCAATTTGGATAACTTCCCAACACTAACAAGTCTAACAGGGACCTCATCCAGCTTGACCAATCCATTCACATACAATTCCTTTAAATTAACAAGATTTGCCACATTACGAATACAAGATGCGACTTTCAAAGTCTTCAAACTTGACAGAAAGTCTCAGCCTTTGGAACTCAAAGTTATCCCTAAGAGCCATAAAAAAATGCACCAATCTCTGCTCCTCTCGCAGCCTTTGGAACTCAAAGTTATCCCTAAGGGCTAACTGATCCCAATACCTGATTGTAACTGAATAGAACTCCTGTATACTCTAATGACTTATCAGTTATCACCTTGTCTAGCAGTCCGAATCTCCTACTCCAACTGATACTGTTTGGCAAAATTAGATTGCACATATAATTTGGACAAATAATCTCAAATTTCTTTGGCTATGGAAAACTTAGCCAAATGCACACCAATTGGCTGATCGATAGAATAATTTATCCAAGTGATTATCTTCGCATTATTTACTTCCCAAGCAGATAGCAATTCAGTGTACTTCTCAGCTTTGGTATCTGCTGGAATGGTCCAAGTCCCAGTGACATTACCTTAACCCACATGTTTTTGCCCCACAATTATTATTATTATTTTTTCATTATGTATGCCCAGTACACATAATTTACTAGTCAATTTCACAGTTCACACTAATAGCATGGAGACAGTCAAAATTCCCATTGGCCATCTTTTAAAAGTAAATTATCACAGTCTAATACGCGACTGATTTTATCTGTCAGTTGTGGCGTGAACAGTAGACAAATTGAATAAAAACAGAGTGACATTGGTGCGATGCAAAGTAGAACAAAGTCATCGTTTTGAACAAAGTCGATGCATGGTGAGAATTAATCTATTGTTACGATGAGATGTTGCTGCTGTTGGGGAAATGGAGTTCTTAGAAAACTTTTTGAGTGCTTTTCATCTTTGGATCTTTATTCATCTCTAGAAGCTAATTTAATGCATGAAGAAGATGCTGTTCGTCAGATAAAGTTTAGCAAACTTACAAAGAGGCTTGACTAAGCCTCAAATCCATCCACAAAGGGAATGTTCTCCCTTATGAAGATCACTTTAGCTCCTTCTTCCTCCTTAGGTCACCATCTTCACCATGGTTGTCTTGCCTTTGGAAAATCACCTGTATAACCTCCATGAATGACCTTGGATGCATAGGCTTTTGGGAACCTCCATTAGATGAGAACACCAAACCCTAAAATTCTAGAGAGAGAGTCTTTATCTTCACACACTAGTGATGCTCAAAAGCTTACTAACAGTACATATCATATATGTATTTGTAGTCACATGGTGTGTCAAAAGTAATTCTCAATCTTTACAATTAAAGTGCTATCTCTAAGGGCCTCCAATATCAAGTTGGGCTATAGGTGAGAATCCTTTGGGCTTACTATTCTCTTGGCTTAAATGAATTAATAATTGTTAACCCGGTTTGTCAACCAGGAACCCAATTCAATTAATTCATAAATTAATTTCTACTCCACTAAAAGAAATTAATTGACCTCCAATCGAATAGTAAATAACCACGAAGTCAATGTTGCACTTTGACTACTTTATTCATAATCAGTTATCGGATAATTAAAGCCATCAATCCATTTACCCAATTAATATATTTATTTTGGTTCCTTGATTATTTCCTGGCTTGATCACAACAAAACATTTGTTTGGCAAAAATAATAATTTAGTAAATAAATACATAAAGAAACTATTTTGTCTAAAACGAACAAAGGCCTTTGAATTTACTTTGTGATAAGCCATATAATCAATACAAAATAAATACAAGTAAAATGGATGCAAATATTGATAATATAACCCTTTAACTATTAATTATGTAATTACCCAAAGTGTCGGTCATAGGATCTCGTAGGCTCCGCGGAACAGTCAAAGAGTTTATACTTCTCTCATGCTTGAGAGTCAAATGCCATGAAGATGATAGGGAGTAATTGCATACGAAGGCACTCACAATATATCTCAATCTATTGCGGATCCGGTTCAAGTCTTAGTCAATTAAGAGTCCATCCTTAATTACCGACCATGAACTATTTGTGATTGCTATTTATACTTTTGTATTGATCGCTACCACATAGTGGACACATTCAATTCCATAATGAATCGAAACCTAATACATTTGCATTCACCAATTGTATAAAGCATAAATAAAATTTCAGATAACACAAGGAACATATGTCTCTACAATTCAAGTAAGAATTTGCTACGCCAAGACCCACAAATCCCAACAGTTGTTCAATTTCAATAGAGAATAAAGCATATAGTCAATGCGAACAGAAAGAGAAGAAGAAAGGTTGTTGATGCAATGCAAACCAGAAAGGGAGATTTGTTTCTGCAAAGAGATAGGGTTTTGTGACTGATTGGGAGCTGCGATTCACAAACCAAGGTTGAACAGAGATGCGATGCAATGTGACGATGTCGGACAGGGAATTAATGTAATCGTTGAAGTTCAAGATTGCAATTTGGGCAATTTGGCTGCAATGCTGGTTCCATGCGATTAGGATTGCGTGGGGCTGCGATCTTGGTTGCGATGCGAGGGCAAAATTGGCGCTGCTTTGAAATCATGTAAGAAATGAAGTCTAATCTAAGTTATTCAATCGTGAACATGTATATACATTACAAAAAATAGGCCCTAACTAAAAAAGGGGAAAAGACAAGACTACCCTTAACAAATATGAAAAATACAGCCCCAAGGGGTTGGCTTAAGTGGGTATGTCCCTTAAACCTGAAAAATAATATTAAAAATGCAAATACATAAAAACTCTCCATCTCTCAAACAAAGATAAATATTAAACTTCTCTTAACAATTATATTACGATATTATTATTGGAAGAGTTACTCTTGAATATTTAATAGAGGAATCAGTGGAGAAAAACCTTTCCTATTATTGAAGATTTGGTGTTGCTAGAGGAATCAGTGGAGAAAAATCCTCCTTGTTTTCTATTTTCTAATTATTTCCATTCTCATAATTTTTCTCCTATATAAAGGAGCCTCCACCATTGTATTGTATATGAATTGAGAGAGTATTATAAAAGTGATGTAGTCCTTTGGGCTCTTTATGCTGTGGATGTAGGCCCTAGTGGCTGAACCACGTAATATTTGTGTGTTTTACTTGTTTTATTTATCTCTTCGCTTCTGTTTTATGCTTTACAACATGGTATCAGAGCCTAATTTCTCTTCCTAGGTTCGGACCCTATTTTTGGGTATTTCCTTAGCATCTGAAATGTTGCTAAGGGTTTCTCGGTGCTATTTATGACTTGTTTAGGCTGCTGGTTTGTCCGGCAGTATTATTCTTCACCTTTGCCGTGTCTCCGGCTGTTTTTATCGACTTGTTTGGGCTGGTGTGTTCGGTAGCATTGTCTTCGCCTTTGTCGTGCCTCTGACAGTTTTTTGTTGACTTGTTTGGGCTGCCGGTATGTTCGGTAGCATTGTCTTCATCTTTGTTGTGTCTTCAGCAGTTTTTATCGACTTGTTTGGGTTGTCAGTGTGGTTGATAGCGTTGTTCTTCGTCTTCTCTCTTCTCTCTTCATCATTCACACTTGTTGTTACTCGTCATCTCAATGACAAATTAGGCATTCATGCTCCAACTTGAGGGAGAGTATTGAAGATTTAATGGAGGAATCAGTGGAGAAAAATCTTTCATGTTGTTCCCTATTATTGAAGATTTGGTGTTATTAGATGAATCAGTGGAGAAAAATCCTCATTGTTTTCTATTTTCTAATTATTTCCATTCTCATAATTTCTTCTCCTATATAAAGGAGCCTCCGCCATTGTATTGTATATGAATTGAGAAAGTATTATAAAAATGATGTAGCCCTTTGGGCTCTTTGTGCCGTGGATATAGGCCCTAGTGGCTGAATCACGTATTATTTGTGTTCTACTTGTTTTATTTATCTTTTTGCTTCCGTTTTATGCTTTACAACAGTTACATTTAATGTTCAAAACATTTTGAATATGTATTTTGAAGTATGTGAGAAGTATCAGATACGTGGTCGAAGTATTGGATATGTTTTAGAAAAAAAAATACATTTTAAAATGATTTTTTTTATAAGAAAAAAATATTTTTAAAATGATGGTACATTTAGGAAGTATCAGGCACATATTCATGAGTATTCGAGGAGTATCAGTATCTGACATGGACACAATAGGAGAGTTGAAATATCCGTGGTTCCTAATTCAAGCTCCAGTGCTCACCTGTTGAGCATTGGTGCTCGACTCTCTGACTGATGAGCATTGGTGCTTGAAGCTTGATCATCAATGCTAGGGCATTATTTTGTATGAGCAGTTCTATTATGCTCCAGATTTTCCAATTTTAATCAATACAGTTTTTAGGATTTTCAAAATGACTCAAAACTATGTTTCAAATAACCAAGAGGGTTTTAAAAATATTTGAACTTATTTTTGTCCTATCTTTTGACTCGAAGAAAATAAACGCTTAAAATTATCTCTGTTTTGTTAACAAAATTTGCCAATAACCAGATTATAAGAGCAGCCAAATAGGTTTTAAGACTTGTGCTGCATTGGTTTTTAATGGATAATCAATCTCGTTTAAAAAAATCTGTATTGTTAACAAGAAAAATATTGTTTGGAAGATTGCTTATATTAGAAAATTTGTAAAAAACTCTGCATAGTCATCTACCTGGATTTTCCATGGCGTTAAAGTTACTATGAAATACTTGTTACATGTAGTCAAAAGAGCATATTTAGTGATCCCAAAACTTTCTTCTTCTTCTTTTTTTTTTTTTTTTTGAGGAAACAAAATATAAAATAAGACTAAAAGATATAATAAAATGGAGGGATTTTTGAGGAGATGAATGAATTAGTGGACATGGCTTAGTGATTCAAAAGATAAATGTATATTCTGACTTAGGAAACTTCCTAAAGTAAATGAACTTCTACATTTTGGTAATACAGTGAATAAACTTCAACATTTTGGTGATATAATGAATAAACTTCAAAGTTTTGTTAATACAGTGCCTCATCAATCATTTCCTATTATCACAATTAAAACTGTCATATCTAAATGCATGATCTATGTAAGCCTAGAATAATGTTCCTGAATGCATGACATATGTCTATGTTCTTGTCTCAGGTGCCAAAGCAAAATACATTAGTATTATCATTGTATGACATTATCAAGCATCAAGGGACCCCCTATCCTCCCATCTTGTCCCACCAGCAATGTTGCTAAGACATAATACGGACCAACAGTTAAATTTTGGCCGAATCTAGATGGTTATGGTTTCATATGGCTTGCATAAATCCTCACCCCATTAATGCTCCCAAGATGATTATGTCTTTGGGTAATTTCACATAGGTTGTATATCTAGAGGTTATATGCGTAATTGTTAAAGGATTATAGTAAATGGCTGTTAACAGTAACAAATTAGTTTTGAACTATAATAGTAAACATGAGTAACATCTACTGAAATTTGACTTAACAATATTGTTTCCGGTTTCCTTATCTAAAACTGAAAAATCAGTACGTCCTTCTCTATTAAGTGGCATTTTTTATTTCCAATACCCCTACTTATTTTACAGATTTATTGCATGGCCTTGTGTGAATTGATTTGGAGTGCTAAGTCAGATGTTTTACTTGTTTCATGCTTGACAGGGTGTGGCAGGATGTACCTGTTCTTGTCATGGTCAGCATGCTCGCGTATTTCTGCTTTCTTGAGCAACTTCTGGTATCCTCTTTCCTTATTTATTATTATTATTATTGCTATTTTATGTCAATGTATCCAGGTTGTCTACCTATTGGGTAAATAACACGACTCAAACACGACACAGAATAAGTGGGTTTGGGTAGATCCATATTGACACTGTAGATCAACGTGTCGTGTTCGTGTTTGACCCACCAATCCGTTTATGACACTGTAGATCAACGTGTCGTGTTCGTGTTTGACCCACCAACCCATTTATGACTCGTTTAACTAAACGTGTCATGTTCATATTAAAAATGACCCATTTAGCTAAATTTTTCGGATAAACGTGTTGTGTTCATGTTAGAAATGACTTAAACATGTCTTATCGTGTCATTTCGTGTCGTGTCAACTCTTGAGTCTTGACCCACTTATTAAATGGGTTACGCGTGGTGTCGTGATACCGGTGTATAGTCATGTTGTGTTCGTGTCAAGGTTTCTTGACACGAATTATAATGGCGTCGTGTTCGTGTCGACCCATTTTACATGATACCCATGTCTTGACACGACGTGAACACGACCCACCAACACAAATTGCCACGCCTTTTGACATTTAGGGGAAAGACCAATTGGCATACATTCTGTTTGATCAAGTTATTCCTGATCATTAGGTTGTCCATTAGTTGGATGGTCATATCCCAAATCCTGAGAACAAGTACCTAATGAACTTAGGCAAGAATTCTTCTGTTTAACCACTATATGTAAAGGTCAAGTGCCTGAATAATGAGACAGGAAATATTTAGACTTCACTTGAGAGGGATCGGAAGCATTAATTTCCTCTTCCAAAATCAACTTGTTTTAGTAATAGTAACTATATTATCCTGCCAAACTCTTTTGGAAGCTAAGCAAGCAGCAAAACGGTAATCTAAGAAAAAACCCACCATTTTAAATTAAGAAGTTACAACGTGCAGTTGCAAAGTGCATGGTTCTTTGTTTTATTTATATATGTGCATCATGTTGTCTTTTTTCCTTCTCCCTTTTAAATATATTTTCCATTTATATCTCATTATGTTTCTAAATTTAACCTATGATATGGTATTAATGCATTTAATTGGAGCAGGTGACTGATCTGGGACCTCGTGCTCTTGCAATCTCTTTACCTTTCTCTTGTGTTTTAGGCCTCCTTTCATCCATGATAGCTTCTACCATGGGTAAAACTTACCAAATTCTTTCATCTTTTTATATATTACATATATTTGTCTCTGTGAATCTAACACAGCTAATGTAATTCTTAGTATGTTCCTACTATTTTTTTTTATTGATTTTTGTACTGAGATATATGAAAAGTCGTGTCATAAAGTTAAAATGAATTTCCTGCAAACATGTGTATCTAATCACTTCACTGAAGCCACCTTGAAATCCAATAATCTGCACCAGGGAAGACTACAGGACTGTATTGAATGCCATTTCAAGCATCATTTTATGGTTGTTTCCATCTTTCTGACCCATCATTCAAATACTTGTGCTGTGTGCACACCTAAGAACTACCAGTGTTGCACTTGCTACTTGTGGGCTACTTAGGGTTGGTTGATAGAAAATGACGAAGTGTTGGCAATTTCCGCAACAAAGAGTCTAATAAATAAACAAAATGTTATTAGGTGTCTAGTTCGCTGGTCAATTTGCCGAGGTCAAGTGAAGATTTGGAGATAAAAGCCGAGCTGCACTGGTAAGAGAGGGACATCTGAAGACCTAGTACTTGGGTTTGTTATGGATAGCTTTGAACTATGTTCTGCACTAAATGAATTGAGTGTAGGTTGGACCTGCTAACACACCTATATAGGCATGGAGAACTTTCGGAAAGGTAGGAATTGAGTAGTTAACAAATTTATTCAACATTCTTAAAGAATGCACGAATGCCTAATGACTGGAGGAGATGTATCATAGTGCCAATTTAAACAAATAAATTGGATATACAAAAGTGCAACCATTATTGAGATATTAAACTAATGAGTTATACAATGAAACTATGGGGAAGGATAATAGAACAAATATTAAGGAACTAATTCAAATTATTTAATAATCAATTTAGATTTATGCAAGGAAGATCCGCAATGGAGGCCATTTACTTAATAAGAAATTAGTTAAAGATTGTAGGATTGTAGGATTAAATAGAAATATTTGCATATGTTTTTCATAGACTTAGAAAAAAAAACATATAATAGAGTACTAAGAGATATTACTTGGTGGGACTAACAAAGGAAACAAATCCATATGAAATTTATAAAGATTATTCAGGATATATTTATGAATACAAAAACTCAAGTTCGTTCCACGTGGAGATACTAGTGAGTTTCTTATAAAAAGTATGATTACTCCAAGGGTCAGTACTAAGCTCATATGTGTTCACAATAATTTTAGATGGAATAACAAAAGATTTACAAGGAGAAATTCCATGATGTATGTTGTTTGTTGCTAACATAGTCAAGGATTGACAATATAACAATATCAATTCAAAGCCAAATGATGACCCAAAATAACCATTTTTGCTATTTAGTGTGACCAATACAACATGTGGAGAGATAGATGATGATATGATTAGCAGGATTGGATAAGGTTGGACAAAATGGAGACATGCTAGTGTTTTATATGATAAAACAAAATCAAATAAATTAAAAAGGAATTTTACAGAAAATTTATCAGGCCAACTATCTTATACAGAGCCGTGTGTTGGACATTAAAAGCTAAACAATAACAACACATTCATGTAGCTGAAATGAGAATGTTAAGATGGATGGTAGAAGTGACTAGAAGAGATAAGATGAGTAATCAGAGTGTGAAGAAGAAATTAGGATGATGCCTATTAGTGAAAAAATAAAAGAGAACAGACAGGAGGTATGGACACATACAACGAAGACTTATAGATGCACCGGAAAGAAGAAGAATATTAGTTTTCATAGATGGTAAGGAACAAAGAGGCCATTAAAAATAATTTAGGATGAATTTGTCATAAATTATTTTAGAAAATTGAATACTGACTGGTAATAGAAAATAATCAAAAAAGAGAGAGGCAAGGATGTTGTCCAATTTGGGTTTGTATGTCGGAACATATCCAATTTTGTCGCAAGACAAGTAACCAGAAAGAAAGAAAGAAAGGGATGAGAAAATAGAAGAATAGATATACTAGAAGAAGGGGATGAGAAAATAGAGAGAGGGGGGGGTGGGTGGGTGGGGGGGGCGCTGAGAACAGAGTGAATAGATAGGCAGGACAGACTGAATGGGTGAGAAAAGCAAGAACAGAAAAGGGAGAAGGAACAAAACATAGAGAGAACTCAAAGAAAGCAATAATAAATAATTTCCAAAAACTGCTAAAGTCTATTACATCAAGGCCTTTTATAGGCAAACCCAATAATAAGAGAAAATAAAATAAAATCCAAATAATTGCTAACAATAATCACTTTCTACTAAAATTAAAAATACTAAAATATCCCTGATAAAATATCCTATGCCTACGCCTGACATAGGTGTGGAACACCTCACGATCTCCATCAGATACCCTTACCCATGTCCCGTCATGTTGACATGGTACGTGAAGGGATATAAGATAGTCCATGTAACAAAGATTTGGGTACCTATTCATTCAGAAAGAGAAGTAAACCTATTTACTTCTCTCTAGGTCTACACATCAATACTTAACTAAATTGCTCCTGCACGCCCCACTCACGTTTTAAGTTTTATAGCAAGTGTGACCATATACTTTGTGATATTGTGGCCCGAATTTAGTGCCGGGTCGCGTTGCGACCTGCTTATAACCCTCGTTGGATGAGCTTTGTGTGGGCTACGCCCCCGAATCCCCGAGTAAAATTTTTTGACCCATTTTTTGCTTATGGGTCATGGACTTTAATTAGTCTCTTGTAGCCCAATATATAAGGGCGCTCGGGGTTTGGAGTGGTGCAAGAGAGAGACTCTGAAATTCATACAGAAACAGAGCGAGGGATTGAAAACTTGTAATCTCCGATTTAACACATAGTGAAAATTTTCGCCGGATCCCAACAGTGGACGTAGGCTGTTGCCGAACCACGTATAAATCTTTGTGTTCTTTGTGTGGCGTGTTTATTTTTCTGTCGTGATTTTTGATTCAACTTGGGTTCGTTGCGTTTGTCATAGCATACTTTAATGATATTAATCGTTTACTTTATTAAAACATTTAGTCATAAGATAGTTGGACCATTGCTTGGTGTATATAATTAAAGTTTGGACTGACAAGCATGAAAATGAGTGTTGGAATTAACATTTACCTGTTCGTGCAAATAATGCCCAAATTTAGTCATAAACTCAGTCTACTCTTTCCATTAGCTCGGAATAGCACGGAACAACACGGGATATAAACTCAGCACGGGATAATGACCTTCTTTCTTTAGTCCTAAGATACTTGATGCACTAAGAGGCTTGGCAAGGGCAAGAGGGCCCAGTAATCCGATCTATCTTCTCTATGTTTACATTTTTAAGTTCACTATTGTAAGTTGTTATCAGGATTTTTATTTTTGCTTGTTATTATGTCGTCTTACGATCCACTTAGTTAGTGGTTTTAATATCTTCACATTTATTAGAACTAGTGTGGAATTAAGGGGAAGTCATGGGACCTTTCAAGTTTTTAGAGAAAGTAATCGTTTCACTAGGTTAGGTTATTGAATCATGTTTTGGAAATTTCCTACTCAGAACTAAGTTACAAGTTGATCAAAATATCTTGAGTAATTGTTTCTACAACTAGAAAAGATAAAATGTAGATGAAGAATTACAAAGAACATGTCGAAAATCTCTTATGCTCAATCACAACCGGAGGTTAAGATAAGATGAGAACGTAGCGGACTTAGAATCTAGGCTACATTATTGAATTAAAAAGTGATTTGGTAAAATTGGCGTACTCAATTTGAGAGCCTGACTATCATTATATACAAGTGGGAAATTACAAATATTGAAAGAGAATAAAAAATCAAATCGAGAATAAAAATCAAATCCCTAAACATAAGCCTGTAATGAAGACCCAATAAATCTGCCACATCATCGAGTCAACCTATAGATATGATTTCCAACACTCCCCTCAAGCTGGAGCAAATATGTTAACCAAGCCCAGCTTAACTATGGAAGACTGAAGAAGAGAAGGCCCAACAAACTTGAACACATCTGCAGTTTGTTCTGAAGAGGGAACAAAAATAGGATTAATGATTCCTGATTGAACCTTCTCTCGAATGAAGTGAATGTCTACCTCAATATGTTTCGACCTTTCATGTAACACAAAATCAGAAACAAGCATAATGGTTGATTTATTGTCACAAAACAACTTTGAAGAACCTTTCTCTACAAGACCCAACTCTCCCAAAATTGATTGAAGCCAAAGGAGCTCACGAGTGTTTTGAGCGGTACTCAGCTTCAGCAGAGGATTTGGAGATAATAGCTTGCTTCTTACTCTTCCATGATATGAGATGATTACAATAGAAAGTACAGAAGCCAGAGGTAGACCGTCTATACTGTCTTACATCCAGCATAGTCTGCATTAGCAAAGCATGAGAGTCCGAACTGATTTCCTGAGGCATAGAACAGACCAAGGTCAGGGCACGACTTAAGATGTCTTAAAATATGATAGACTGCATCCATATGAGTTGAGCGATGGGCATGCATGAATTGACTAACCACACTAACAACAAAGGTCAAATCGGGCCTTGTGTTAGTCAAGTAGATAAGACGACTTACGAAACGTTGATACATGGATGGATCTGGAAGTAATTTCCCTCACTCAACAGAGAGTTTGATATTAGGGTCCATAGGAGTGGAAGCGGGTCGACACCTAAGCATGCCATCATCTTAAAGAAGATCCAAAACATATTTCCTTTGAGATAAGGAAATTCCACTACAGGATGTAGCAACCTTAATTCCAAGAAAGTATCGAAAGGGACCTAAATCCTTCACATCAAAGGACTTTTGAAGATGAAGTTTTGCCTAAGAAATCCCTGAAGGATCATCACATGTGTTAATGATATCATCCACATATACTAATAACATAATGCAGCGACCATCATAGCGACGCCAAATAAAGCAAGTATGGTTTGAGTGGCAGTGCACAAAGCCCATTGATAGAACAACATCACTAAAACGATTGAACCACGCTCTAGGGGATTGCTTCAGACCATAAAGAGACTTCCGTAACCAACAAACGTTCCCAGCATACTCCCTCTCAACCTGAAATCCAGGGGGTGGATCCATATATATGGTCTCAAGTAAATCTCCATTAAGAAATGCATTCTTGACATCTAAGTGATGCAAAGGCCAAGAATGAGCAGCAACCAAGGAGACAAATAGTCACACAGACGTTGACTTTGCCACAGGAGCAAAGGTAGCACCAAAGTCTTTGCCCGAAATCTGAGTGAAGCCTTTCGCCACCAACTGAGCCTTATACCGATCAATAGAACCATCAGCTAAGTACTTCACACTTAAGACCCATTTGCAGCTAACCGTTTTCTCCCCAGCACGTAAAGCAACAAGTTCCCATGTATTATTATGCTCTAAAGCATCCATTCTTGCTGTCATAGTAGACACCCAATTGGGATCCTGGAGGGCCTCTGACACTGATTGAGGAATCTAAACGGACCCAATCTTGTCTAGGAAGGATATATATGCACTTGAAAGACTATCATAGGAGACATATTGGGAAATAGGGTAGTTAGTGCTACTAGAGAAACCATACCAATTAGGAGGGTGACGAACACAGATAGGATAACGGGATGTATGCTCGAGAATGGTAGGAGCAACAGGAGAAGGAGAGTTACCTGGACCTAATTCGAAAGATGATTCGGGCAGGGGAGGTTGAGTGCGATGGCGACGAGAGTAGACCTGCAAAGGCGGAGGGGAACCCCACATGGGTGGAGAAGGAGATTCCAAGACAACGTGATCTTCAAAGATAGGAACAGGATGGGCAATAGGAGAGATCCCCTTCTCCAGACCACAAGAGAGAGAATCCTGTAACACAAAATTAGTACTATAAAAAGGAACAATTTTATGAAATGTCACATCAAGAGAATGGTAAATATGTTTGGCCACAGGATCATAACAACGATAGCCCTTTGACATAACAGAATACCCCAAGAAAATACCCCTAATAAATTTATCATCAAGTTTATGACGAGAAGGACTACGGTTATGAACAAAACAAGTACATCCGAAAACACGAGGCAGAAGGTGAAACAATGTATAATCAGGCTAAAGAATCTGAAGTGGGGCCTTACCACCCAAAACTCGACTGGGAGTACGATTAATCAGAAAAGCAGCTGTAAGAACAACCATATGCCAATAGAATTTAGGCACATGCATACCACTCAAAAGACATCGGACCATAGACATAAGATGACGGTTTTTGCGTTCAACCACGCCATTTTGTTAAGGAGTGTAGGGGCAAGTGAGTTGATGTAAAATTCCCTTTTTATTAAGTTCAGTCCAGAATTCATTCGAAACATATTCACGCCCATTATCAGAACTAATATTACAGACAACAACGTTATACTGGGTTTTGATCATTTGAAGAAACTGGGTAAATAAAAAAAGCACTTCAGATTTCTTTTTCAATAAATAAACCCAAGTACAACGAGAATAATCATCAATAAATGTCACATAATATCGATGCCCAGAAAAAACAGTAATTGGGGAAGGGCCTAAACATCAGAGTGGATAAGATCAAACATACTAGGAGCACAACTCATATTAGAAATATAGCTAGTTTTAGTATGTTTAGAAAGTCATAAACTTCACATTGAAACTTATGGTCCTTACATGCTTTATTTAACGAAGAAAACAATAAACGTAAATACTAAAAGTTTACATGCCCCAAACGGGCATGCCATAGACTAAAAGTGCATAAAGAAACATCATAAGCACTAGAAACCGGTAGGACAGAAGCTTGAAGACTCATTCCTGGTGGTTCCCCAAAGTAGTAGACTAAAAGTGTGAAAAGAAACATCATAAGCACTAGAAACAGGTAGGACAGAAGCTTGAAGACCCATTCCTGGTAGTTCCCCAAAGTAGTAAAGCCCATCACGCTCATAACCCCTGCTAAAAATCCTTTTCGAACGAAGGTCCTGCAAAAGACAATGATCTGGTAAGAATATCACAGCACATTGAAGGTTTTTTGCAAGCCGGCTAACAGATAAAAGGTTAAAGGCAAATTTAGGTACATGAATGATAGATGAAAGAGCAATATCAGGAGATAGACAAACATCACCCTTATAGTGAATGTAAGATGTAGAGCCATCCGCAAGACACACAGATTGGGTAACGGGTATGAAATTGGAAGAAAAAACTGATAACTCATCAATTATGTGATCAAAGTGATTTGGTAAAACTGGAGTACTCAATTTGAGAACCTGACTATCATTATATACAAGTGGGAATTTACAAATATGGAAAGAGAATAAAAATCAAATCGAGAATAAAAATCAAATCCCTAAACATAAGCCTATAATGAAGACCCAATAAATCTGCCACAATCGAGTCAACCTATAGATATGATTTCCGACAAATTAGATAAAAGAACCTTCAATGACCTAGGTTTGATCATTAGAACGCTCAAATTGATGTTTGAATATGTGTTTCAAAAATTTAGCTCATCGATTGAAAGATTGATGGATCAATCAGAGTTTTATAACCAAAAATTGTTGGAGAAATAGTGAGCTTCAAGTGAAGCTTCCATTGCTAGAAATCATTGTAGTAAGCTTTGATCAAACCAGGTTAACATATCCTTTGAACACGACTGAAACAATTTCACTCAATCGAACTATGCATTGATCTATTGATTGTGGAAACTCTCTCAAATCAGAATTTTAAGTGGCTTCACTTTCCTATTTCACGTAAGACTCCTATATTGGCTATAAATGAAGGGCCATAGTCGTTCTGGGATATCTTTTTAATTCTCTATACACTATTGATATGTTTTATATTTTTGGAGAGAGCTTTGAAGAATCAATTTAGAGTCTTCATGAATACCAATCAAAGCAAGGAGCAGAGTAGTGACTATTAAACAAAGCATGAACATGGTAAAATCATGAAGAACAAGAATTTGAACTATAATGGAGAGCAAATTCTATGTCCTAATTGGGCCTAAGAAACATTTTATTTCCACTCTTACCTATTGCGTTTGCTTTCTTAATTCTTTCTTCATTATCAGTTGTGGGTTTTTCTCTATGGTTTGGAGTAAAACAACAAGAAGTTGGTATTAGGTGGATTTATAATGAATAATGTAACTGTTCTAAATGTAAGCTAAAAATTACCTAGAAAGGAAAGGAAGAAAAAATGAAGAAAAAAAAAAAGGGAGGAAGCTTTGGCAATTGCAATTATTACGGGATCTACAGAGGATAGTGTTATCAAATTCTCTTTGGAATTTTGCTTTGTGTTTTTAGTATATTTCTTTACTCCTTTTGCTTGTCACTTGATGGATCATTCTTCAGTCCACTGATTATCATGAACTTAGAGACCTTACAAAATTTGGTCATGGCAGTGAGCAAGAGTTACATATGGGCTTATGCTTCATTCCAGTTTGCAATTGTGATCCTGTTCGCTCACATTTTTTATACTGTAGTAAGCGGGGTTTCTTCCTTCTTTTACTATGGTACTTGATTATTATAATTCTTTTCACCATTAAAAATGGGAGACTTCTTATGCAGTTGCTAAAATATGCAGCTCAATGTAAACCCAATTCTCTCCGTGCTACTTTCCTCATTTACTGGTTTTGGGATTGCAATCAGCACAAATTCACTTCTCATTGAGTACTTGAGATGGAGAGCAAGCCGAGATCTACAATCTCCCCATCAGCATGTTAGTGGTGGAGTGCAGCGTCAGCAGCAACAACAGCAACGAGCCCACTACCATCACCCTAACCAGTTTCAGCGGCAGCAGCGACAACAAGAAGGACGAGAACAACAACAACAATCAATTGGAAGTTCGATGGTGGGACCTACAGACGGTACTGAACTGCAAGAAAGCAGGATCCAGAATACATAATCCAGGAAGATGAGACAATCTATAACATTCTTTACAGGTAGTTTCAGATTTTAGCTCGGTGCATACTTCAAAACTTTCATGCATAAGCGTTGATCAATAAGTTTCAAGTCCATATGAGCTCAAGTATGTATCTGTTGTGGATTTTTATGAAGTTTGCAAGGTCATAAAAGAAGAAGTTTTGGGTTTTGGCTTTACTCAAACTGAGAGCCGAGACCTATGTTTATATACAAGAATAGGGTACAAAGAAAGGAAATCAAATCAAAGAAAAATAGGAAATATGCCAAAATTTGCATGATCCCATGATTACGGGGATCTCATCTACGTGATCCCATGATAATAGGGATCTTACATAAAACACCTAATAAAAGGCTGAAAACAGTTAATAAAAATAAAAATAATAATAATACAGATATTTCAACACTCCCCCTCAAGCTGGAGTGAAGATATCAATCAAGCCCAACTTGGTAATCGAGGAATGAAGAAAAGATGGACCAACGGATTTGGTGAACACATTTGCGCATTGATTAGAGGACCGAACAAAGCATGGCTTGATAATTCCTAAATGAACCTTCTCTCTGATAAAATGAATGTCCACCTCTATATGTTTAGCCCTCTCATGAAGAACAGAATCTGAAGCAAGCATGATGGATGACTTATTATCAGAAAACAAGTCTGAGGACTGTTTTTCACTTAGACCTAGTTCCTCCAAGAAAGATCGAAGCCAGAGAATCTCACAAGTACCCTAGCCATGGCATGATACTCAGCCTCTGCTGAAGATCTCGAAACTACAGGTTGCTTCTTACGTTTCTAGGATATAAGATGATCTTCATAGAAAGTACAGAAGCCAAATGTGGAACATTTGTCAGTCTTGTACCCAACATAGTGTGCATCATTGAAACAGGATAGCCCAACCTGCCTGCTAGAAGAATAGAATAATCCAAGTCTAGGACAGGACTTAAGATATCAAAAAATATGATATACCGGATCCATATAAGTTGTACGAGGAGCGTGCATAAACTGACTCACAACACTAATAGCAAAAGCCAAATTAGGACGAGTGTTGGTAAGATAAATCAATCTTCCTACCAAGCGCTAATACTGCGAGGGATCAGAAAGGAGATCTCCAGACTTAGCCGAGATCTTTATATTAGGATCTGTAGGAGTGGAAGTAGGTTTACACCCAAGCATACCCGTGTCTCGAAGAAGATCCAAGACATACTTCTTTTGCGATAAAGAGATACCCTGCTACCAAAGGACCAATTGGCCCAACGATATCACCACTTCCTTCCCAAAGGGGAGGTCGAGGGTTCGAACCTCGGTGGAGGTAGGGTGTGTGTGTTATTGCTTTAACTTCCAAAAAAAAAAAGAGATACCCTGCTTTGAATTAGCAATCTCAATTCCCAAGAAATATCTGAGCTGCCCAAGGTCTTTCACATCAAAAGCTTTAGCCAATTGAAGCTTTACTTGAGCAATCCCAGGGATGCCATTGCCAGTAATGATGATATCATCAACATAGACAAGAAGAATGATAGAATGGCATCTAACAAACTCCATGGATAGAATTACATCACTGAAGCGGCTAAACCAAGTTCTCGGAGATTGTTTTAACCTATACAAAGACTTTTACAATCGACAGACATTTCCAGCATACTCTCTCTCAACCCAAAAATCGGGTGGAGGATCCATATAAATAGTCTCAAGAAGAACATCGTTAAGGAAAGCATTCTTCGCATCAAGCTAATGAAGAGGCCAATTGTGAGAGGCAGCCAGGGAGACCAGCAAACTAACTGAGGTCAATTTAGCCACTGGAGTGAAGGTATCATTAAAGTCTTTACCAGGAATCTGAGTAAACCCTTTGGCCACCAAACGGGCCTTATACCGATCAATAGAGTTATTGGCCAGATATTTAACATTAAATACCCATTTGCAGCCAAAAGTCTTCTCACCAAGAGGGAGAGATACGAGCTCCCGTGTTTCATTTTGCTGCAAAGCATCCAATTCTACCACCATACCAGACATCCAATTGGGATTCCGGAGAGCCTCAGAGGCATTTCTGGGAATGGAAGTGGAATCAAGTTTGCTTAAAAAGGCTCGGTAAGATCCTAAAAGACCATCATAAGAGATATACTGCGAAATAGGATGATCAGTACTACAAGTGAATCCAAATCGAGCAGGGGTTTGAGGTCCCGAGTGGGATACCGAGTCTCAAGAAATGTAAAGGAGAGAGAGGAGATGTACCTAAACCTGTATCTAAGGAGGATGAAGGCAGTGGAGGCAGAGCACGAAGGCGACGAGAATAGACCAGCAAAGGGGGTAAGGAAACCACAAGAGAAGACTCTTCTTGAAAAATAGGAAGAGGACGAGTAAGAGGAAAAGCCTCTTGATCGGGAGTAGAAGTTTCCTGCAAGATAGTGTTAGAACCATAAAAAGGGGTATGCTCATGAAAGGTGACCTCAAGAGAGTGATACATGTGTTTGTGTACAGGATCATAATACCGGTAACCTTTTGACATTGAAGAGTATCCTAAAAAGATACATTTAATGGCCTTGTCATCAAGTTTAGTACGAGAAGGGCTACGATTCTGAACAAAACATGTACATTCAAACTCCTGAGGCATGATGGAAAAAAGAGTAATGTCAAGCTGAAGCACTTATAAGGGGGCCTTACCATTTAATACTCTACTAGGGGTACGATTAATGAGAAAAGTAGCTGTAAGAACCGTCATGTGCCAGTATGACTTTGGCACATTCATACCATTTAAAAGAAATCGAACAACTGACATTAGTTGGCAGTTTTTACGCTCTGCCACACCATTCTGTTCAGGGGTATATGGACAAGTAAGTTGATGAAGAATACCATGTTGGTTAAGTTGAGACCGAAACTCATTGGAAACATATTCACGACCATTGTCAGACCTAATATTCCTAACAACAGTTTTATACTGAGTTTTGATTATTTGGAGGAATTGAGTGAACAAGGGAAAAACTTCAGATTTCTTTTTAAGTAAATATACCCATGTGCAACTGGAATAATCATCAATGAATGTGACATAATAACGATGCCCTGAAAAAGCAATAACAGGAGAAGGACCCCCAACATCAAAATGTATGACATCAAACATACTAGGTGCACGATGCATATGAGAAACATAACTGGTTCTAGTATGTTTAGAAAGCTCACAAATCTCACATTGAAACTTATTATCCTTACAAGCCATTATTAATGAAGGAAAAAGCAGACATAAATACTGAAAGTTTACATGCCTAAGGCGAGCATACCATAAATTTAAAGTCTGAAAAGAAAAATCATACGATCTAGAAACTAGAAAACAGAGGCTTGAAGCAAGTGGAGGAGGTGTTGGTGGAGGATCCCTAAAGTAGTAGAGGCTATCGTGCTCATATCCCTTGCCAAAAATCCTCTTCGAACATAAGTCCTGTAAAATACAGTAATGAGGAAAGAAAATCACTGCATAGTCTAGTGATTTGGAAAGTTTGCCAACAGATAGAAAATTAAATGCAAAATTAGGAACATGAAGAATAGATGGCAAAATAATATCAGGGGATAAATGAACATCTCCTTTACTACGAATAATGGTGGTTGACCCATCAACTAGACTAATAGCTTGATTAACATGGGTAACGGGAGTAGAAAATAATGACAACCCACAGTCATGTAATCATTGGCCCCGAAATTTAGAATCTAAGTAGGTTTTCCCGCTTTAACATGAAAAGCAAAAGGAGTACCTATAGCTATAGTAGTCGTGGTAATAGAAGAGCCAGCCCTGGTAGATAAAGTTCCAAACTGTTTCTGAAGCTAACCAACCTGGGACTGTAACTGATTGAAGTCCTGAAAAGATGGTCTGGGAGGAATTGAAGCAGGAGGGACAACAATATGTGGAGTAGTATACTCACCAATAGTATCGGCTACTGCGGCAATGCGGTCACGGCCAGAAGGACGATTGCGAGAAAATTTTTGCTTTAGCTTCGGATGAAGCTTAAAGCTACGATCCTTTACATGACACGTGGCTCCACAATGTTAACAAATAACTTTTCTCTCTGAAAGTCTAGAATCAGCAGCAAAAGCCATCTGATTAACCGGAGTCTCTGGTAAAGCTACTCGCTGAGAGATCTGGCGTCTATGCTCCTCTTGGTCAATAATAACGAAGATATCATATAAATTAGGCATAGGAGAGGTGTTTATGATTTGAGTTCTAAGAGCATCATACTCAGATTGTAAATCCATTAAAAACTGATAAGTATGTTGGCGGTCCAGTCTCTTGACCAAAAGAGTTGCAGCTTCTTCAGAGAAATCGGAGAGAGGTTCATAGACTGGAGGTACCCAAAATACTCTGATACTGACAACTTGAGTCTCTCCTGAGATGCATGAGCAATCTCGTGATAGAGTTCAAAGATACGAGCGTCGTTGCGGGAATGGGCATACATCTTGTTAAGGGCTTACCACAGACGAAAAACGAAAGTGTGAAACATGAACATATTATAGATACACTCCTCCATTGAGTTGAAGATCTAACCCAGAATGGTGCACTTATGTCCTATGCAATATATTTAGTATCCGCCTTTTCCGGTTCCTTGACTAGACCCGAAAGCCAACCAGTTTTCCATTTCCCTCCAATATAGAGTTGAAGAGAACAGGACCAAGATACGAAGTTGCGCCCATTCAAGAGCACACTAGTAACACGCTATGCTGGAGTTTATGTGTCGAAGATAAAGTATGCTAGACTGAGGATAAAGTATCATTTTGGCTACTAGAATTAGTTATAGTACCAAAATAAGGCTGGTCCACACATCAAAGTAGGAGGAAAGAGAAAAAAATAAGGCCAGAAAAATCGGTGCTTTCCTCCAAATATGCTGCCGAACAAACACTAGGCAGCCCACAAAGAAAAAAACACTAGAAGAACCCTTAGTTCATAAAAAACCTAAGGGAATTCTCCTAAAAAAGGAGTAAAATAACAGAGGGTTACACGAGGGGTTCGGCGCAAGGGCTGGGAGGAAATGGAGGTGCGTCGGAGGTGAGGGAAAATGGAGAGAGGGAGAGAGAAGGTGGCGGAGTTGGGGAGGAGGATGGGGAGGCGAACGTTTTTGTTTTGCTCTGATACCAAAAAAAAGTTTTGGGTTTTGGTTTACTCAAACCGAGAGCTATATTTATATACAAGAATAGAGTATAAAGAAAGGAAACAAAATCAAAGAAAAACCGGAAATATGCCAAAATTTACGTGATCCCATGATTATGGGGATCTTATTTACGTGATCCCATTATTACGGGGATGTTATCTATGTGATCTCATGATAATAGGGATCTTACATAAAACACCTAATAAAAGGCTGAAAACAGCTAATAAATAATAATAATAATAATACAGATATTTCAACAGTCATAATCCGTTCCGGCATCTGAAGCAGTTTATTCTAAGGCTTTCTTAAGATATGAGGCTTTAACCAGTTGTTTGATGACCATTTGTCATGGATTTGAGATACCAGACATGATGTCATTTAAAAGTTTACATTTCATGCACTAATGTTAAACGATCTGCTCAACCATTATAGGGAATTCTAGTTATATACTGATGTTGGCTGAAGATCAAGATGTTCTGATATAAGAAAATAAAGTGGGGCCATAAAAGGCATATTAATAGTTAGGATTATCCTTTTAAATGGGAAAATTTTCATACATCAAATTGCAAGGAATGCAGAATTCTTATTATCCAAAAAATTGGTAGCCCATCCAAGCAGGGGTGGACCATATCTCTTGGATCTTCTTCTATTAGCTATAGCATATTGATAAGAGTGGGCCTCAACAACCTGTTGACTGTGTGTCGTGTAAAAGTCTTAACTATATTTTGGTGGGTCAATAACCACACAAATGAGTTTTTATGGTTTATGCTAGTTGTGATGGCATCGTTTAGATTGAGAAAACTAGAGCAGGTGTAAGGGCTACACTCAAGGTTTAGACAGAAACTCTAGAATCAAGAGGGTTTAAGGTAAGTATGACTAAAACTGAATTTCTGAAATGTAACTTTCATGAAAAATAGAATTACAAACCCCCACATGGTAGCTGAGTTGGTGTAAGGCCTCTGGGCATGAGCTAGAGGTTTTTTTTCAACTCCTAAGATTATCAAGCCTCCAACCTGAGCTTACTTGATACCCGTGGTTTTTGGGTGATTGCGGGTATGAAAAAGATTTAGTTCTAGTAGCCAAAATAAATTTACAAGTAGGAATGCAGTAAAGATCAAGGGTCAAGAGCTACTGAAAAGAGAACTTTTTTTTTTTTTTTACTTAGGCTCAATTATGCATGGCGAGGAAGAAACTGGAGACAACGTTAATATTTGATTAAAGCAGGATGAGTACTTCTGGCACCTTGTGTGATTGACGTATGCCCTTAAAATTAGCGCGTGGTTTCGAATGAGAGTGGAATGACAAAACAAAATTCATGTAACTGACTTTAAAAATTGGAAAAATATTTGAGTTGAGTTGAGTTGGATTTTCTCTCTTTTGTTGCTTTTATTATGTTTTATATGAAGAAAGATGGTAGAGTGTATTTGAGTTATAGAATTTTAATTGAACAAAACTCTGTGTTTGAATTATTTAAACTTTTATGTTAAACAAATATTCAAAATACTCTATGGATTTCCTAAGATGGTTCATGAAAAAGAATGGTATTTAGGCAAAAATATATCATGCACATCATAATTAATATTAGGGTAAAGTGCAAAAAAACCCCCTGAACTTTTAGCCAATTGCACAAAACCCCCCTTGAATTAACAAATGCCCCCTGAACTATGATAAAGTTGCATTTAAGGACAGCATGTGAGGCCTCAGGCACCGGAAAAAAAGGATTACAATTTTATCCTTTAGTAGCACTACGCCGTATTGGTGCTATCTTAACCTCAGTTGCTTTAACAATCCAATAGAAATTTGACAACGCATCACTACCTTATCACCTTATCATTCCATTGCAACATTACACTACTAATTTTTTCGCCAAACATGACCTTACACGAGGCTTTGCCTCTCTACGCTCTATTTTTTCCATAGGCCAATTGCAATCTCCAGCAGCTGGTTTGGGTCTTCAAAGATGCTCACGGTTTAGTCAACTGGGTTTGTTGTATCAGTTTGTGGTTCACTGGAATGAGATTGCGATTGTGTCGTTAATGCATAGAGCTTCTCGCCCGCGGTCATGGAGTTTAAGGTTGGTCTCTCACCTGTTTGCTGCTCGTTGATGCTTAGAGTTTCTCGTTGGGGCCGGCAATCATGGAGTCTGATGTTGGGCTCTCATGCTACTCGCAATTCAACCATGCACTATCTTCTCAATTAAATCACACATAGGCAAACCCAATGGAACCCCAAAACGCACTGAATCGAGCCACTGCCAGCACCCACCACTTCTGCAACCACCATTACCGCCACCATAACGCCATCCAATCGAGCCACAAACTTCTGAACTCAACCAATTACTCAATCCAACCTTACAACCCACTGCCACCACTATCATTGCTGAAGCAATGAACAACAAAATTTTGAAAATTCAAATAATTCATACTGATCCAAATCAATTCAAATAATTCAAATTGAACCGTCCCAACCACTGCCATCCATCAGTACCGGTTTCCTTCTCAACATTAATTCATTGATTTTGGTTTTTGCCTTGGATCTCTACAGAGTACACAATTGGGGAAGATACATGTGTGTATATATAATATATATATATGTACTACTGTATATAAGGGTAGGATTGTCATTTTTAATTTATGGCATAAGTCACGTGACTTTTTAAAGGCTAAAATTTAACGGAACAGTGTCATCTGGGTTTTTTTGCAACAATTGAATTAGTTTAGGGGGTTTTCTGTTTAAAAAAAAAAAAAAAGTTTTAAGGGGTTTTTTTGGGAGAGAGTAAAGTTCAGGGGTTTTTTTTTTGGCACTTTAGTCTTAATATTCTGCTTGCTTTAATGACTACATTATCAAAAAAAAAATCATGGAAAAATATATTGTGCACGTCAGATTTGATAATTATGCTTAATTTATTTTAGATCATTGATATTTCTCTTCCTGCAGATCAAAGCATTGTTGCTCTGAGGGATTGATTTTGTATGTCGGAAACTTTCTTGAAGATTAACCAGCAACTAGACAAAAGAAGGAAATGAGGAACGCGAAAATAGCACAAGGTGAATAAAATTGTACTTTAACATCCCCATCTATGATGAATTTGATAAATGCGAAGTGAAATTATAGGTGAACTGCAAGACAAAATCTTCATGATGTGAGCCATATATGATGATCATCTTTTAAGGCCAAAATTCAAGAATGCCCAGAGGGCTACTTAATTGTTAGAACTAGCTGAAGGTGTGCTATCTTGTTGTGTGTTAGCTGTTTATTTTTGCTGCACTTCTATGTCATATTTTGCATATTTTCTGTGGAATCATATATATATATATATTCTTTGTGCTGGAAGAACCTTACTGGTGGTATCAATTCTTTTCTTCTGTTTTTTTTTTTTTTTAAGAGAGATAATATTATGTGTATGAGTTGTCAAACGTGTTCCAAAATTATCCTATTTCCTTTTGCATAAAGGCACAATCTCGCCCAAATTAATATCTAAGATATAAATACATATTTTCTTATTAGTTATATTTTTTCTTTTTCTGTATTTTTTTATGATAATTTAAAATTTTAACATTTTTGTTATTATGATTGTTAATTTTTTTACTATAAAAAAATATAAAATAAAAAGTTTTACAAGATTTATCTTAAATTTTTTTAAGTTCGAAATTTTTTTTTAAAAAAAAAAAATATCCAGGGACGGGTTTAAATTCCGATGCCAGGCACCCTGAATTGGGTTTGAAAAAACATAAAATAAAATTATTGGTGGAATCAAGAACCGATCCAATAATTATGAATTGGGTGGGCTAATATTTGAATGGACTAATACTAATAATAATTTGTTTTTTTGAACTGAACTAAAATTGGGTATAGTAATAAAAATTAAAAAAAAATTAGTGGGCTTAGTGTCACGGGCCTAGAGATTTGGCGCAGCGGCACGGCCCGTGCGGCACCAAGGCGTTACTTCAGCTCGCGCAAGCGCCCTGGTCAGCCACCACGACCTGCCCTCCCAAGGATACATGCTGACTGGTTTCGGCCTGCCATGGCCTCGTCAGGGGAACGGCTCCAGCTCCCGACCAGTTTGTGCAGGGATGGCCAACTCCCTTCTTCATAGTCAAGTCCAAGACTAGCGACAAGCACCTCGAACTGAACCGAGTCGACCTGCCTGAACTCTGAAGAGGTACCATCCTGTGGTCCTGCACGCCCCTTCCCTGGAACCATTCCCAGTCAATGAATGTTCTTAGCCAACCAGCATGCGTATCTTCTATGCTCATGGCGTCGTTAGGAATCGGATCGTGACATTCTCCCCCACCCAAATCCTGCGACGCCCTCGTCGCAGTGCGGCGCTGACTCCGCTGCGTCCAACATTCCAAAGCCTGTCTCCTCCAAGTTGTATGCTCGCCTGCCCACCATCGCTTCCTTGTACAACCCCTGGCTGCACTCCCCCAATGATAGGGTTTCGGGCTAAAGGGACGCCCACTTCTTCGGGACGCAACCCCACGTTATGCCGCCTCCGCGACACCCCGAGCAAACAAGCGCCCTCCGGCTGACTTGATACCCGCCCTTCACAACGGTTTGCACGCCTCTTGAACTTGCAAGAACTTTGGTGCGCGCGGCCCTCCGGCCATCCGATGCGCGCGGCCCTCCGGCTTAAAGGACGCGTCTTCATGGGGAGATGGAGGCTCTCCTCCAACAGCATTGATTACCTACCGACGCTTTTTCAGTGCACCGTCTTCATTCTCAAGACCCCCGGATCGACAAGGGGGCACAACTCTGTGCTTTTCCCCAAGTCCTGCTCTGATACCATTTGTCACGGGCCTAGAGATTTGGCGCAGCGGCACGGCCCGTGCGGCACCAAGGCGTTGCTTCAGCTCGCGCAAGCGCCCTGGTCAGCCACCACGACCTGCCCTGGATACATGCTGACTGGTTTCGGCCTGCCATGGCCTCGTCAGGGAAACGGCTCCAGCTCCCGACCAGTTTGTGCAGGGATGGCCAACTCCCTTCTTCATAGTCAAGTCCAAGACTAGCGACAAGCACCTCGAACTGAACCGAGTCGACCTGCCTGAACTCTGAAGAGGTACCATCCTGTGGTCCTGCACGCCCCTTCCCTGGAACCATTCCCAGTCAATGAATGTTCTTAGCCAACCAGCATGCGTATCTTCTATGCTCATGGCGTCGTTAGGAATCGGATCGTGACATTAGGCTTGAGCTCAACCCCACAAACACCCCCCCCCCCCCCCCCCCCGGGTCCGCCATTGGCTGAAACGGGTTTGGAAAAGGGGTTACCATCCCAAACCCGCCTCGAATATCCCTAGAAACTGCCAATCACAATTTGTAAGAAATTATAAATTGCATGCACAAACAAATTGTATTAGCAAATTGTAATTAAATAATACATGAAAAATAAAAAATGATTTAGGCTTGATTATTGGCATAATTTAATTTATTTATATTTACATTATAAAAAATGTAAATAATTTTTTATTTATAAATATAGTAGTGTTTATGATAGTATTCATTCAAACAGACCGAAATTTCCTATTTACATAGAACTCAAATCAAAGAATTTCTTGTTTTAAGATGTGGTTTAATAATTGGCCTAATGGAAGCCAATTATACTCATTATTTTATTTTATTTTTTTATTATTATTTTTAATTTTAAGATAGGAGAGTACAAGATCATTTATTTATTTATTTATTTTTTTTTGAATTTTAGGAACAGAAGAAGAGTATGAAAAAGGAGAGATGGACATTTCTAAGAATAGGAATGTGGAAGATTTTTTTGATTTTTTTGAATTTTAAAAATAAAAATAGAGTAGAAATAATGTAAGAAAAAGGAGTAGAGACCGGGGGAGTTGAAATGTTTCGACCCTAAACCCCTGAAAAATAGAACTGGACTACAATTACAAGAGTTATTTGTCACACATCGAATCCGGATGAAGAAGTGATTGAGTATTGATGGATGGATATGCGGGCCTACAGTTACAAGAGTCATTTGTTACATATCGAATCCGAATGGAAAAATAATTGGATATAAATGAGCAAGTATGCAGGACTACCCAACAGCTTGAGATTTTAAATAATTGGACAAGTGCCCACCCTATAAGTACTTGTGTTGAGTTATTGTTACAAGAGTCATTTGTCACACATCGAATCCGAATGGAAAAGTGAAGTGAATGGTATAAATGAGCAAATATACAGGACTACCCAACAGCTTGAGATTTTAAATAAATGGACAAATACCCCGCTACAACTACTTGTGTTGAGTTACGATACAAGTTGCACTCCAGTGCACTTGCACAACTAGAAAAATATAATTTAAAATTTTCAGGCAATTTAAAAAGGGAAACAATTTTGATTGAAGTTTAATCTACACATGCAATTATGCAAATACAAAACCTCAATGAATAATAATAAATAGGGTACTGAAATTGATGTCGACCACTAGTTCCTTCCAAAGAGGTATATAGTTGGGCTATTTAGTGAAGTATGCAACATTTTCTACTTGAATCAATTTCCAACTAGGAGGAGGAGGAATTAAACAAAAAATTTATATAATTTAATTAGAGAGTCCGACGAAGAAATGTGAATATAAAAAAGCCCTCCAATGGCCAGAAATAGATTACATAAAGAAGCCCTTCTACTCGGTGCTGCTACCTAAATAAGCAAAGATTTTGCTTATTCTTATGATCTCATTCCAATAACAATAATAAAAATATTATAACTATAATAATAATAATAATAATAATAGTGTAGCACTCTTGCAAAATATATCTGCACTTTGTCACAACAGCTGGAATCAGTAGAGAAGCCAGGAAAACACTGCAAAGCCAGTATTCCATTCCTCCATTCCAATTGCTCATTGTTTCTTTCTTCTGATTCATTCACTTCCTCGTCTCTCCTCTACTCTCTTTACCTGCTACTACTGCAAAATACAATCATATCAACACAGTATCATAAAATAAAAAGGCAAACCCTAACCAGACAAATATAAAAGGTGCAGGCAGTATCAAGTCTGCACGAGTGTTCCATTTATCTGTTTATGAATTCAATATCCATCATCAAGTTGAGATAAATCCAACAAGACAATTTCACTATCATCAATTAAAACAATGCCCAAGAGTCTCACTTACAGTCCAAGTATTTATCAGGATCATACGTTTTGTGTTCTCGACTAGTATCTCTTTAACATCTAAACAGCTTCAAAATGTAAAGTCCGAAGTATAACAAGAAGAAGAAATGTTTCCCTATGAAAGAATAAGTTAAGAGGACCAGTAAAAGTCGAGCAGTTTCAAATATAGCTCCTCTTTAGTCATCCCGTGTAATCAAACATAGAATTCTTTCACTGGATATACTTTTATTATTACTAGATATGCGAAAAACAAAAGCTCCCCAAAGAGTTGTGAACATAGCAGATTTGAACCAGAAAATATGTTTTAAGTTAAAAATAGAAAGGAAAAAAAAAAAAAAAAAGAACGAAGACTATACTTAACTAAAGTGAGATTCAAATGAAATATCTAAGTGGAAAAAACCTATCGATACAAAGACTTACAAAATTGTTGCGCATCTCAAAGCTACTAATAACTTTCTCCTCATCTCTGTTCATGGACACGGAAAAGTTTCTATATTCATTTACTTGCATTCTAAGTTCTCAAAAACCAAGACCTGGCTCATTTGAGGTGACAACATTATCTAGAGCACAAGGGAATAATAAGATATCCCCTGAAATGCATTGTATAAACAGAGGAGAGAGGGAACAAATAGTGTAGAATATAAAAATAAAGAAATAAACAAAAAGCAAAGAAACAAAGACAAAAAGATACTAGAAACATTGATACACGTCTGCAAAGAACATTCCAATTTTAAAGCATCATGTGCTAAAAAATTAACTACCAATTTTATCCATAGACTTGAGCCGGTATTTGTGAACTTCCGGTGCTAAAATAAATGTGGAAGAAGGACTGGACTACTGTTTTATCCATTGTATTTCCTTGACAAAAGTCACCAAGCTGTCCTTCGATTTGAATTGTGTAGTTAAGTATACCTAAAATGCCCAGGAAACTAGCGTTTCATCCCTCACTACAGTAGTATTAACGGGCAGCCAGCTGAAATATTTAAATAGTAGATTAGGATAATACGATCAAGAAATAAACTAAAAACTGATGGGCCACTGATGCCCCAGATAGGCAGTAAAACAAGTCGAGTTCGATGAAGCTATAGCAAGGTCTGAACTTCAAACTAATTACACATATTTACATTGGAGGTCAAGTTCAGTCCCAAATTCAAATATTTGACCTCATTTCAAGTCCCCAAAAAAAAATAATAATAATAAATTATTTTATATTTTTAATATAAAATGTATCAATATTCTAATAATATTTTACAAAAGTTGCATAATGCACCCATAACGGCCGATGAACGATATGATACATATTTATGGCATAAGAATCTTAATCAAGCTGGATCTGCATATATGCAAGTTCGGACTGTATCAAACTGAATCAGCAATTATTCAAGTTCGGACTGTACAATTCAATCTGATGCATCATTTAAAGTTAATGAAAGTCATTTGGTCTTATGATGGTTCTTAATTGTTATGAATTGGGATCATAGTCAGCCCCGTCAACACCCTAAAATTAATTACTTACCGTATGGAAATCCAAATTCATGGTGTTGCATCAATGCACTAAAAATTTCAAATGTTGGAAAGGATCCACACCACTGGATTGGTTGGTAAATTCACTCTTCTAGGTAGGGAAATCGTCATATTGTAGAGAAAATAAATAAAATACAAAACCTAAAAAAAATCAACTTCTTCAGCTCACTGTATTGAAGAATGGTCAAAAATCGATAATTATCCACAAAGTTAGCTTTCATAATTTTGCATTGGCATTAGATTTCGCTTAACTCCAGTAGCAGGTAAGATAGATCAAAAAAGTTATTGGCAGTGTTGAACAAAATTTAGTTGTCAGCTCGGACAAAATAATCTTCCCAATGGTTTTAATAAAGTATGCATAAATAATTCTGAAAGGGAAACAGAATTTTAGGGAAGAGCCGACATCTTTGCTTGAGGATGGAACTCTTCTCAGATCACTAACCAACCAACCCAAAACTGACTGAAACAATCATGCCCAAGTCAAGCTTTCACGTACAAAGGTGGAGCATAGACAATTATGGACAAGTGGAAGCATCAACAACAATAGAAAATGCCAAAGAAAATAAGTTGACCAATCCCTATAAAATAATGAAAAATCTTACCATCAAATGAAGTCAGAAAGCTTTCCTGCCAGTGCTCAGATCACCGAAGTCTCCACTTGTTCGCCTTGAACCACTATTGCCAAATCCATTAGAATGACCAGAACCAAAGTCCCCAAAACCACTCTGACGATTTGAAGCACCAAAACCACCCTGACGGCCAGACCCATAACCACCAAAGTTGCCTTGGTGACTTGGTCTAGATCCTCCAAATCCAACACCAAACCGAGCAGAACCAGATCCACCATTGGACCCAAATCGGCTGGAGCTAGATTCACCAAAACTACCCCCCCGACCAGATGATGGACCACCATATCCACCAGAACGACCAAATTTGGAACCACCGTAGCTGCCAGAACGACCTGAATCACCAAATCGGCCACCTCCCCCCATGTCAACAAGTGGACCCTCAACAGCAATCCTAGGGAGCTGATATTAGGCAAATCATATCATGAGGAAATTAGTCTAAAATGGTTAAACTTATTGGTCTAGTATGACAAATTAAAAAGTGTGTGTGCGCGAGAGAGAGAGAGATGCTCCAATCCTAACAGATTAAATTTGGCGGGTGATGTAAATGTACACACATTAAAGGTATGCTTTTCATGAGTACAATACAGTATACACATTCCTGCAGCACTGAATATTATTCCAACATCTTGTTCTCAGAGAAAAAACTAATTCACATCAATAAAATCCTATCCATGATAGGATTATAAAACATTTTCTGCTAATTTCCTGCCAAGCACCCAACCCCTGTCAACTCAAACCAGAGAGAGAGCAGTTAATATTGCCAAAAAAAAAAAAAAAAAAAGTATCAATAAATGATCAGGATGTGTGCTCTCCTATGAACAGTAGTTTTTTAAAATTGTGAAGCTTTCAAACCAAAATTCAGACCCATGACATCCTAACAAACCAAACCAAAATTCAACAACACTAAGCCACATTTGGCTCCATTTAGTGTTACAGTGTGTCGAAATCCAGAGAAATTTACACGCACAAGGTAATGTACAAGCAAATAAACAAAATAAAGAACTGAAATTTTACCTGATTAAATTTGCATCCTACATCCCGTTCAATACCCTTAACATCCCTCATTTGGTGTGACGAATAAATGAGAATTGCCTTTCCTTTCTTCCCAGCACGTCCTGTTCGGCCAGACCGATGAACAAAACCCTCTGAAGTGCTTGGAAGTTCAAAATGTATCACCTGAGCAAGAAAATAAGGTTCCGATGGGACAAGACGACCACAACATAAATTATATAGAAAACTAAAGTTACATAAAAACAAATAAAAAATTCATATATTAATCCACTAATCAAATGGAAAAACATCTTTAAAGAACAGGTAGCCATTCAGACCACGTTAATGCATGTCTATTAACCATGTACTAGGTCAAATCTACACAATGTACATGAGCTCTTCCAAATACAACCCACACGAGGGAAAGAAAAAAAGAGAAAAAAAAGGAAAACCACACACTTGCACAGACAGAGAGAGAGAGAGAGAGAGAGAGAGCACTGGTTCGCAGAATTAGTATGTAATTGTTAGCCAGTGTCTGCCAATTTGGGTGTTTACATTTATTACTATACACATGGTTGGGCAAAAACAACCAGACTGTGTAAAGAACATGATACGAAAACGCAGGAGGAACAAGATGTGCCTAACATATCACAATTCAAACACATGAGAACTCAAGGCTAAGATGACAAATACTTAACACGATACCCCAATCAAAATCTGCAAGTAGCTCCCACAAAACTCTTTGACATAATTAGGCAAATAAAACATTATCTACACAAGAATAGTGAAAATTGGCTCAGCAAATCACAGAAGTACAGGAGATCATTCTAAAAGCTCAAATGAACAACCTCCAGTTCTGACTTACAAGGAGATCATTCTAAAAGCTCAAATGAACAACCTCCAGTTCTGACTTACCCCCAAAAAAAAAAAAAAAAACACTCCAGTTCTGGTCTTTTCCTTGCATAAATACAGAATGAAGCAGAACAAAATTAAACGGCACCAAGGGAACATTCAAAATCTGTTCACAAGAAACACATCTGGTTACCTGCAACTTAAATATTTCCAATCTAGGTTGAGAAGAAACTTGCCTGAGAGTGCATAAAGATGCGGCGCCATGAAGAAAAATAACCAGCCAAGCAAATTATCAACTTCTATACACATTTGAAAATTATTACGCCAGCATGTATTCAAGTTGCAATCTCAGTTGGAGTAACAGTTACAGCTGCAATGTAACAGAATCCGGAGTATGCACAATTCTTATAAAGAACATGACCAAAACTGTTACCTTATTTTCCCCTTGAAAGCTCCCAAAAACATATTCTGATCATTGTTTTCCACTAAAAAGTTTTTTTTTTTACAGTTTCACCAAATTCCATTCTGTGACATTATGAATTTATTAGCCACATCATTATTAAATCTTACAATTTATTAACCTTCTCATTGTTTTTTAATGACTACAGTTGCAAATAATTAAGAAATAAAAAAGATAACCAAATTCAGTGGGATATGTATTATGGTGCAATAGAATCTATTATGGTGTCCAGTCCTACCTCCAACAAAAAGATGCTTTTCGGACTTCCCAACTCTACAGTTTGACTAGAGCAAAAATCTTGCTACATTTCTCTCAAAGTGTATAAAACAAGAGAACATGAGTGTGAAAGAGAAAATGAAGTCTAGATGTGTTTTTAGATTTCCTACAACACTCATATAACCAAACCTGCCCATGATGGCTGTCAAGGATACAATATATGATAACATTTAGATCATAATGCCGAACATGTGATTGCAACTATTACTGTCCACAATATATGGCCGCATAAAGGTAATTGAGCTGAATGCATTGGGCCGTACACATAACTAGGCCCCATCCACACAATTATTTTTGGCATGGGCTCTAGAACCATGGACAACAGTCAGGAACAACAACGATTGCAACCAATCTGAAGCTCATCCATCAATTTTCGAACTGCTAGAGTTGAACTAAATTAGCCATCTTTTTTTATTAAAGAAAAAAAGTGAGCCCTCTACCTCAGTTCCTGCTTAATCCCATTCACCATGGCTTACAATAACATGTACATCAAGAAAATGGGGGACTGATTGAGAAGATATACAGTTCTATTACGTGTTCACACAAAAAGAAGTGTATGCAACGACTTTGACTAGGTTTTCATTCACCATGCCATGCAATTAATATATACATCAAGAAAATGGGGAACTGATTGAGAAGATACAAAGTTCTATTACATGTTCACACAAAAAGAAGTGTATGCGACTTTGACTAGGTTTTCAAAAACGTTACATCATCCATTGCTCCAGAAAAGGTCTGCTAAATCCAATACCCGAGCAATTAAAAGTGGAAGAAGAAGAAAATGGAGGAGGACTGATTGAGAAGATATAAAGTTCTATTACATGTTCACACAAAAAGAAGTGTATGCAATGACTTTGACTAGGTTTTCAAACCACTACATCATCCATTGCACCAGAAAAGGTCTACTAAAGAAGAAGAAGGAGAAGAAGAGACTAGTTATTAAGTGAGCATGCCACAGTCTTAGAAACTTCAAGAAGAGGCATTCCTGAACTGACCAGAAAAGATATTATCACCAGTCTAAATGAAAAGCTGATACATTATCACCTTTGAGAAGCGACTTCCATGTTCCAATGTAAGAATTTTGGGTTAGGATTGTAGGGGCTAAGTGCTACAAGCAGATGCATTCCTAAACTGAATTGGAAAAGAGCTTGCAACCACTCTAAATGAAAAGTTAATACATTATCTCCTTTAAAAAGTCACTTCCATGCCCCAATGCGAGAAATTTGGTTAGGATTGTAGGTGCTAAGTGTTACCTTCTCCATAAACTTGGTTTTTCTTTTATCTTTTGCAAGGATGAATTTCTGAGGTTTTTCTTTTATCTTTTGCAAGGATGAATTTCTGATCAGTCCTCTGTGTATTAACCTTGTCATTCCATTTTATTATTTTAAATATTTTCTAGTTCTTCTGTAAAAATATGTATAAGTACTTATATAACGACTTACAACCTTCAAAACAATAGTACTCAATTCACAGGTCAGATTTAGGTTAGACTATTGTGAAAAAAATGGTAGCAAATGAAGGCACATTATATCCCATTGATGGAGAGGGATAGGCTGATTACAAGACCTAAGCTCTAGCTACTTGAGTCAGCAGCCCAAGCTTTCACAAGGTCAAACCAATAAAATGCGGGGTCTAGGTAAGTAAGGTTAGATGTACACAGCCATACTTCCACATGGAGAGGTGGTTTCTGGTTAGGAACACATGACCTTAAGGTCACAATGGTGCAACCTAATTAGTGGAAATGGAGCTGGAATTATCCAACCCTCCCAACACCTCAGCTCAGTTAGACCAACATTGGATATGTCCTTCTAATTAGCAATTTACCAAAAATTTTTGAGATTATAAAATAAACATAAAACTATAGATAATGCATGGGTATTAAAATCACCTAACTGTATCATAAATTGTTTTAAAAAGTTATCCATTTAATTACCTCAATCACAGTTTTCAGCCAGCTAACCTGACTCAATTTGTCATATTCTTTCAATCTACTACAATATTTTTGGTATGCTGTCCAGCTACTATTACATATTATCATGATATTGAGCAGAACCAAACATATATGGATGAGAAGAAAAACTCCTCTCCATCTTGATATTGCTTGGCATTGTCTTCTTAAATTTAGAAAAAAAAAAAAAAAAAAGTCGCTCAACAGAATCATAGATATAACTTCTCAAAAAAATACAGAATCATAGATATAAAAAAATAAAAAATAATAAAATAATAAAAAAAAAAAGATTAGCACATCATGCTAATCTAACCGAAATTTAGATAAAAAACTATGTTACATGGAGTCTTCATAAGTAGTGAAGTACCCGTGTCGGGGACAAATTGCTCGGACACGGGTATGAGATATGTGTCCGACACTTTTGGCTGGATATGTAATTAAAAAGCATATCCAATCATTCAATTATATTAAATGGATCATTCTAACGTTGATTTAATGGAACCTTTGGCAGTTGTGCACCCTGATTGCTTAGAAACGACTGATGATTGGGCATGAAATGGGTGAATGACAATATTGGTATGGTTAGCACTGCTTTGGGTGTTTCTTCGGAGGGTGATGTTGATCGTACTCAGTCCATTCTTCATGTATTGTGACAGGTAATGAAATTACAGAGACTTATCAAAGTACTAAAGTTGGCAAAAATAAATCACAACGGAAAGGGGAACAGGAGATGAAGAACCTTATTTCCAATGTCAATTATGAGGGGAAGGATGGAATTTCCAAAGAAAGGGGAAGGACTAGAAGTGGGAAATGGGGGGGGGGGGGGGGGGGGGGGGGGGGGGGGGGGGTGTAAGGAGGTGATCATCTTTAGTTCTTAATGAAGCTACGAATTATTATATGTAACGTCTGTGGTCTAAATGACCCGGATAAAACAAGGGTGGTTAAGGTTGCTTTGCGGCAGTGGAACGCTCATGTTATATGCTTGCAAGAAACTAAGATGGCTGCTATGTCTGACGAAGTGGTAAGGCGTATTTGGGGAGGAAGGTTTGTTGAATGGGAAGCTTTAAATGCTTCCGGCACATCACGCGGAATTCTTATTTTGTGGGATCGAAGATGGTTGTCCAGAACGGATATCTGGAAAGGGCACCATTCCTTGTCATGTGTGTTTCAGATGGAGGATGATAATTTCAAATGGGTCTTTTCTGGAGTTTATGGACCTGTTATTGATTGTGATAAACCAGCCTTTTGAGAAGAGCTCATCTTTGTCAAGGAATTGTGGTCGTTGCCTTGGTGTTTAGGCAGAGACTTTACTTCTGTTAGGTCTCCGTTTGAGAGATCTACCGGGGGTAGATGGTCTTCGAAGATGACCCAATTTTCTGACTTAATCGGTGGCCATTTCCTTGTTGATTTGCCAATGGAAGGGGCAACTTTTTCTTGGTCCAATGGTACTACTTTCTCACGGTTGGATCGGTTCCTGATTTCTGGGGATTGGGAAAAAAAGTTCCCAGATGTTACTCAGGCGGCTTTGGTTAGGGACGTCCGATCATGAACCCTTAGTTCTTGATTGTGGAGGGATGAGATCCAGACGTACGCCTTTCTGCTTTGAAAATATGTTGTTAAGATCTGAGGATTTTCAAAGGAAAGTTCAGTCTTGGTGGGAGGAAGCATCTTTTACAGGTTCTCCTAGTTACGTTTTAGCTAGGAAGTTTCAGGTTCTCAAATCTGAACTTAAGAAATGGAACAAAGAGGTGTTTGGAAATCTTGAATGGAAGAAGAACAGAGTTTTGGCTGATATTGCTGAACTTGACCATCTTGATGAGCTGGGGCAAGACGTGGAGTCTTTATGTTCTAGAAGAGCGTCTTGTCAAGCGATTTTTGCAGAGATTGCTGTTATGGAGGAGATTTCGTGACGTCAAAAATCTCGGGCACTGTGGGTCAAAGAAGGTAACCGTAATACAAAATTCTGTCACAGACTTGCTAACGCCCATAGAAGATGTAATCACATCGGGTGTATCCGGGTGAATGGTACAGAGTTGTGGAGAGAAGATGAGGTGCGTGGGGGAATTGTTTCATTTTATCAGCAGCTTTATACTGAGTCTTTGGAATGGAGACCTAAACTTAATGGGTTGTATTTCAAATCTATTTCTTCGCTGGATAGTGATGGGCTTGAGGTTCCTTTTACTGAAGAGGAAGTTCTTAAGGCGTTATCTAGTTGTAACAGGGATAAAGCTCCAGGGGCTTTACTATGCGCTTTCTCAAGGAGAGCTGGGAGGTGGTGCGCAGTGAGGTGATGAACACTTTTCAGGTTTTTCATTCTAATGGCACTTTTGAGAAATCTTTGAACGCTTCTTTTATTGCCCTTATTCCTGAGAAGGGTAATGCCTCTGATATTAAGAATTTTAGACCAATCAGTTTAGTGGGCTGCATGTATAAGCTTATCGCCAAAGTTCTCGTTCTTAGAATGCGGAATGCATTTGGACGAAATTATTTCAGAATCACAAAACGCTTTTGTTGGGGGACGACAGATTTTGGATTCTGTCCTCATTGCTAGGGAATGTGTTGACTCTAAGTTGAAGAGTGGTGTTCCTGGTATTTTATGTACACTTGATATTGAGAAAGCCTATAATCACGTGAACTGGAAGTTTCTTCTTTATTTGGTTCGGAGGATGGCGTTCGGAGATAGGTGGATTAAATGGATAGAAACTTGTATCTCGTCCGTTATGTTCTCGGTGCTTGTGAACGGATCTCCCGCTGGTTTTTTTGCGAGTTCGTGTGGCTTGAGACAAGGTAACCCCCTATCGTCCTTCTTATTTCTCATTGTCATGGAGGGGTTGAGTAGATTAATGAAAAAAGCTGAGGGCTTGGGTTTTATCAGAGGTTTCAGAGTCGGTAGAGAAGCTGCCAATCAGATAGAGATTTCCCATTTGTTGTTCGCGGACGATACATTGGTTTTTTGTGATGCTGACGTCTCTCAGTTGAGATACTTGAGGTGCATTCTTACTTGTTTCCAAGCGGTGTCCGGTCTTAAAATCAATGTAGGAAAGAGAGTGATTGTTCCAGTGGGGGATGTTCCAAATATCTCCTCTTTAGCTGCTGTTCTTAGATGTGGAGTGGGCGCTTTTCCACTTCCTTATTTGGGATTGCCTTTGGGGGTTTCCTCTAGGATAGTGGGGAGTTGGGATCCGGTGATCAATAGGTATGAAAAGAGATTAGCAGGATGGAAAAAACAGTATCTCTCAAAAGGGGGGAAGGTCACTCTTATTAAGAGTACCCTCTCGTTCCTTCCCACTTATTTTTTTATCTTTGTTTCAGATTCCATGCTCTGTCGCTGAACGGATTGAAAAAATTCAGCGTGACTTTCTCTAGGGTGGAAGAGGAGAGGAATTCAAGTATCATCTTGTTAATTGGGATCAAGTTTGCGAACCTTTGAAATTTGGTGGATTAGGCATTCGAAAGTTGGTCTCTTTCAATAGAGCTTTATTGGGTAAATGGTTATGGAGATTTGGCAAAGAGCGTCATCATCAGTGGAGAAGAGTTGTCTCGTGTCGATTTGGGGAGGAGAGTGGGGGCTGGTCCTCTCGTCCTGTTTCTGTCACAGGCGGCGTTGGTGTGTGGAAATTCATTCGGACGGGTTGGGATGTGTTTTCCACCCACATCAGATTCAAAGTTCGCAATGGTAGGCAATTTCGCTTTTGGGAAGATTTGTGGCGTGGTGGTCAGCTGCTGTCTCTTTCTTTTCCTCGCCTCTTTAGTCTTGCTGAAAACAAGCATTCTTACGTAGTTGATTGTTATCATCTTGATAATTGTGGGGTAACGTGGGATGTGCGTTTTAGGCGCTCTTTTCAGGATTGGGATTTGACAGAAGTTTGCGCTTTTTTGGACTTACTATATAGATAGAAGGATGTTGGCAGAGATTGTGATGATATTGTGTGGGTGCCTTCCCCTCATGGTAGATATGGAGTACGATCCATGTTCATGTGTTTGTCCAACTTTACTGGCCATGAATTCCCTTGGAAGTTTATTTGGTGCTCTAAAGCTCCTCTTTGAGTTGCATTTTTTGTTTGAACTGCCACCTGGGGAAAGATTTTGACATTAAATAATATGAGAAAGGGGTAAAACCATCGTGAATTGGTGTTGTTTATGCAAAACAGATGGAAAGTATGTGGATCATATTCTCATGCATTGTCCTGTCGCGTTTGATTGTTGGAATTTAATTTTCAGCATTTTCGATGTTCAGTGGGTGATGCATGAACACTCTCTTCAATTAATCAATGCATGGAGAAGATGTCCTGTTAAAGGTCATGCGCGTGCTTTTTGGAGGATTGTCCCGCATTGTGTTTGGTGGTGTATTTGGCGAGAGAGAAACAACAGAAATTTTGAAGGGAAAGAATCAACTATTGCTCACTTAAAATCTCATATTCTCCGTTCTCTTTTCTATTATGTTAGAGGAAGCACTTGCTCCTCGATTGCTGATCTTTTTGACCTTTTGGATTCTATTGGTCCTTAGGGTTTTCGTTTTTTTGTATTAGGGACACGTTCCCCTCTTGAACGTTTTTCTAATATATTTTACTTAAAAAATAAAAAAATAAAAAATAAAAAAATGAGTTAAATGTCTATAGGGTTGGCAAAATGATTCCTAACCCGCCCATATCCGCCCAATTTTTAATGGACGTGGGTGAACCGTATTAAGATATGGGTTGAAGTATCTTCAACCCATATTTATAAAGGAATAAATAGGTTGAATAAGGGTACCCATATTCAACCCATATTTCACCCATTATATTAGAGACCCAAATTGACCACCTCTCTTTGACTCAAATTCACTTCCTCTATAATTTTGTATCTTGATCTCCTCTCTCTCTAAGATTCACTCCCTAGCTCACCCCCCTCCAAAAAAATCTCTCTAAGATTCTCTCTGCCTCATATCTATCAAACTATATATAGACACATATAATTAGTATGTAATCTGTATATATAACATACTATGTTTTTTGTTTTTGATAGGTTATAACATACTATGTTATAACAACTCCAACAATGCATGTTTGACTATGCACATGTAAGGCCGTCTCTGTATATACGTGTGTGTGCGTGTGTGTGCGCACTTCGTATGCATGTTTGAATAGGCATACTCAATCATCTCAACATGGTATTTAAGAGTTTACTATTGGTACTTCTCAATCTCATTAACTATGGTATCATTGACCTCCACCAAGTAAAAAAGAATATGAAATTTTTTGAAAAACATGATTATTAATTTTCGATACTATCCTTTTTTTTCCCTGTTAAGTATGCCTATTTAATGTTATCTTGATGATGCAGGAATAAGTTATTATGCTGGACTCTCTCTAATTTTTTTATTTTTATTTACACAGTGATTCGTCAATACATTAATCTATGGTCATGTTTTCTAGACTCTTTCGTAGCATTAGAAGTATTTAATTAGAGAGAAAAAAAAAATGACTATCATTTATGAAAAACGAGTTGGGCTTATAAACGTGTCAGGTTGTGAAAAATGGGTCGAGTCTTATAAACAAGTCATTTTATAACTTAATAAAAAATTAAAAAATCCCTAAAATGGGTTGTTGGGTCATTTGGGTTGACCGGGCCCATTTTGACCCATTACAACACATATTTGACCCGTCCACATTTGACAAGGCCCAAATCCAACACAACCCGCCCATTTTCCACCCCAAATGCCTATTAAGAACATTATATTAGATAAAAACACTACTCTAGAAAATAAATAAAATAATTAAATAAAATGAATATTTAGACGTGTCCATGTATCCTGTTTGGAGATTTGACATGTCCAACGCATTGATACATACCCGTATTCAGCACACATACCCGAGTCCATGTAACACAGATAAAGATATATATATATATATATATAAAACCAATATAAGATTATATATATTATTTTGGCAGCATAGAAGGGGAGGAGGCGAAGAGAATCTTGTAGGAATGGGAAAATACAAGCAAGAGTCACCTCATCTGTTCATAAATGTAACACAATACCCGTTAGAGAAAGAAAGTATATCAAATAACTCACCAGATCAACATTTGGTACGTCGAGGCCACGAGCAGCAACATCAGTGGCCACTAAAACATTGAAGTGGCCATCTCGGAAACCAGAAAGAGTTCTTTCCCTCAGATTTTGTGAAATGTCCCCATGCAAAGGTTCACACTTATATTTTCTATTCATAGCTTTAGATAAATTATCAGCATCACGTTTTGTCTGAGTGAAAACAATACATTTTCCTCCTTTTGCATGTTCCTAAATAACACATACACAACACTGTAAAGGGAAGGAAAATTAACAAAGCTAAAAGCAATTCTATGTTCAGCAATTATTCTAGATTTTTTTAACGATGAAAATAGATTGAAGAATCAAAGAAATCAGAAGGTAACCATAAAATCAAGCTGGAAATAGCAGCGAAGATACAGATCAGGATTCATACATCTATTAGAGGTCCAATAATTGATGGTTTCTCATATACTCCCGATTCAATTGCATAGAGCGAAATTCCATCTGCCAACTTCTTATCAGAATCTCCAACCTGCAGTATGCATTTTTGATGTTAATAAGCTAGCAAAGGTGATCATCAAGTCTTTCTAGACATGTATTTTACATCCTCCCGATCAACACTCAAGACACACCGAACATTAATACCACCCAGTAACACAAGAAATCATGTGCAAAGAAGACCACTAAGTGCATAAATTAGGAAGAGTGACGTGATCCACGTTGAGGGTAGTGCTAGGGAAGGGGAAAATAAAAAATAACGTAGTTAGAGTTAGCGAGGAAAGATATGATAACATGTAATTGGACTGAGGCTATGGCCTTACATAGAGCAGAATGGAACAATATGATTCACATTGCCAGCCGCAACTAGTTAGAAGAAAGGCCTTGTTGAGTTGAGTAACACAAAAAAGAAAAACATAGAACGGAAAAAAATTACTCATCTCTACAGAAGAATAAAAATTATATACGGTAGATGTAAGCATTTCTAATAACGAAATAGCCCCTCAACTTGCTGCTGCAAGTATTAATAACAGTCTTCAAAAAATATTCTCCTTCCAGCACCTGCTTTTGACCCTAATCGGAATTGCAAAAAATGTAATGGTACATGAATGGCTACTGCTATACCAACATTCAACAATACAGTGAGAATCTTTTAATGTGATGGTGTTTCAAGAAAGAAATTATGGCAATAACAAGTGAAGGAATTTCATAATGAGAAGAGACGGTTAATAAAATAAATAAGAAATTAACAAAGCAAATCAGCACACTCACAAGATCGATAGTTAATGGATCAATGAGGTATTTCCTGGTAAGCTTCACTATCCAGCTCGGCATTGTTGCTGAGAACATCATGCTCTGACGCCTTACTGGCAACCTTTCTAATATCGTCTCAACATCTTCCGCAAAGCCCACATTAAGCATCTGATCAGCTTCATCCAGAACGACAAACTTCACTTCAGATAAATTCAAATTTCCTTTCTTAAGCAGATCGATAAGCCGTCCAGGTGTGCCAACAACAATATCAACACCACGTCTAAGAATATCTACTTGCCGACCAATGGGTGAACCCCCATAAACACAGAGTGTATCCAAGGTGGGGGCAGACTCATAGAATTCCTTCTCAACTTGGCGAGCAAGTTCTCTAGTTGGAGCCAAAATTAAGGCCAGAGGGTATTTTAGACGTCTGCATGTTTTCACATGTATTATACTTCTATAAATTTGGAAAAATGAGCATAGAGTGTAGCATCAACAATCCATAACCCATAGCCTATTGTAAACAAACTTAAATAAATCTTAAAGCAGCAAAATGTAAATATAGAAGCCAATTAAAAAGGGCAAACAAACCCATTCTGTTCAATCGACTGGATTATTTTATCCATGATGGGAATCCCAAAAGCAAGTGTCTTCCCCGTTCCTGTTCTCGCACGACCTATCATGTCACGCCCCTGCATTGCTGGTTCTAGCACAGCTCTCTGTATAAAGCAAGTACAAAATGGTAAAGAATAATAAAGATGAACTCAACCGAATGGTTTTTTGAAGTTTTGAACAACAGAGAGACATGAACATTCAAGGGAGAAAAACAACAAGAACTAGAAATAATAATGATAATAATTAATAAAGGACAGAACCTCCATCATACGTTTACACGCTTTGACCAATCTCATGCCAACAGCAGCAAAAAGGAATTAAGAGAAGAACATGCTCACTCATTAAATACACAAAGAACATTCTCCCAACATTAATTCCAATCAAGACAACAACATAAAGACATCTCAATATAATTATAAATTATTTTTTGACTCTTGTTGGGTTTGTGCCTCAAATTCTTGAAGGTTGATGCAGTTCGAAGAAGTCTGACCCGTCCAACTTGTTCCTGTCGTAGCACTTCGCTCAGTCTGACTTTAAGTCTGACCGGTTGCGCTTGCGCGATGAGTTGCGGATTTGCTTCCTTAAATAGAAGATGTTATTTCCTAAAGGCTTAGACTTGTGGAGCAAGGCTGTAGGCTAGTGGAGGAAGTTGTTTCTATTTCTAATTTTTAGAGTAGTGATAGATTCGGTAACTTCTTGTTTGACAAGTTTTGGGAACCCTTGTCCAACAAGGAAGGGGTTGAAGACTATATAAATAGAGGTGGAGAAGGCAGAGAGAAGAAAAAGGGTTCAAGTGGGTGAGGAGGAGAGAGCGGGTACACGTGTAGAGAGATGTAGTCTTGTGAGTTTGCTCTTAACCCGAAATCAAGAATGGGTTTGCTCTGAGCCCAAAAAGAGCCGGTGAGGTTGGTTGATAGACTACCGGTGGGTGAATGAAGCGGGTGAATGAATGGATGCGTGAATGAGTAGTGAATGATTGTTTGAGTGAGCGGACATTCTCTACAATTGTATATCTCTTCTTGATTCATTATAGTGGAATTTGTTCTCTCTGTGGACGTAGTGCTAGAGGAAGGGTGAACCACTTAACATATTGTGTTGTGTGTTGTGTGATCTAATCTCCATGCACGATTGTTGTTGATGTGATTTGCTTCCATGGTGTGGAACAAAGAAGGGGATTTAATTCCCAACAATCCTCATGTGTCATTTTAATTTCTATTACGATTCCACTAACAATGAGAAGATTGTCAGACTTTCACGAATTATATTCTTTTCTGTAAGTGACTTCCATAAATTATCATTTCATTATTTATTAGACTTTTCTTATCTGTCACAAGTTACAACCTGCAAGATTTCAAACTGCACACACAAGATCTTCAAAAATTTGTGGATGCTGTACAAGAGCTTTTGACAAGATCGGATGCAGTCACAGGGCATTAAGCATTTACAAGAGCTTTTACCTCAAAGAAAAGATACAATAGAGGAGGGTATGCAGCTCTAAACATAGGCCAGGCGGTTTATAATCTAACACATGGAAAATAAGAGAAGATGAGGTGCAGTTGTAAATATGGGGAAAAGGAGTAGTTGTATAATCTAGCACATGGAAGATGAGAAAGGACGAGCTGCAACATGAGAAATGTAAAAAAGCTATTAACGACACTCTGCAGAAAAAATTCCAATGAAAAAAACACATCATCAACACTCAAACCTGAAGAATTCAGTCTGGAGTGCGGAAAAAAAATCAGTCCAACAGTACCAGTTGCAGTTACAGAACAGTTACAAAAGCTTTTAACATGTGGAGACAAAGCAAGAAACGAGAATAGCAACTTGAAACATATAACACATGGAAATTGTAGGAAGGCAATTAGCATGATGAGACGTGATGCGATTAAGGACACTTGACAGAAGAAGTAATAGGCAGCTCTACATGCAAACACAGCCACCCTAGCATGAGTATCAAAAGAGAAGGACCCCCTCAAATAACAATTTGGATCAATACTCTTAACCCAAGTTCTTTAATTTTGATTCCTGATATATTTTATCTCATTGCAATGTACATCAATTTCAAATAGTTCAATCAATTACTTACAGCAACCAGTTCAATTCAATGGTTTAGCTTGTCCAACTAATTAGTGCACCACCGAAGATTGGTCTGTATCTATTGTCTATAATTTATAAATAAAAAAAAATCCTTCATTCAGGGAAAAAAAAAAAAAGATTGGTCTGCATCCCGTTAAGACTCCATTTGTTTCAAAGTAAAATATTTTACATCAGAAATGTCTTTCATTTAAAATATTTTAAGTGGAAAATAACTTTTTTTGTTCTTATTTTCAGGAGTTTGGTTGAAGTCTTAAGAATATGATACAAAAACTTAGGAAATTCATAAATGTTAAAATTAAGTATATGTATTATAACGTGAATAGAAAAAAATTTATATTGTTTATATATTGGTTAATACATAAGCATGTACTTGAGTACGTCCAAGAAATTACATAAACAAATATGTGCATATATACACATATATACATAAATAAAATATGTATGTCCAAGAAATTACATAAACAAATATGTGCATATATACACATCTGTACATAAATAAAATTTGTATATATGTATGTCCAAGAAATTACATAAACAAATATGTACATATATACACATCTATACATAAATAAAATTTGTATATGTGTATGGGTGTGTAGAGGGATATTATATGTGAATGTATGTGTGACGTTGTAGCCCATTCTACAGTCAACAAAACATAGGAAAATGTTTACAGTCTGAAAATATAAAACAAACAAAGCGCAAATCCGAATACATGAAATGAAATGTTTTTATTTTTTTTTATTTTTTTGTGTGATGGGGTACCCGTTTGTTTATACCATATCTTCCTGAAATACAATTTCATTCATAACTGGTTAGGTATTTAACAAGAGAAATGAAATTCCTCATCATGAACCCATTGGCAATCTCATCCAATCACCCATAAACCTAAAAGAACAATAAGAGCGACAAATCAAATGTATACCTGAATAGGGAAGAGCTTAGTGATACCCTTCTTGGCCAAAGCGGAAACAATCTCATCAGAAATGCCAAGCCTGGCAATCTCAAGACCATCATCGGTGGCGGCTTTCGACGGCGACGATGATTTGTCGTCGTCAGAGAAATCAGCGATGGCGTACTCGGGCTGCGACGATACTGAAGAAGCCCTGAAATTCAAGTGGTTTCCAGATCCATCCACATGAAAGCCCCTTCTCGCCAAACCAAAACCAAAATCACTGAAGCACCCAGAAGAAGAAGCAGTTTTAGCAGTATACGTAGAGAAGTTTGGAGCATTTCTAGCGATAACAGGTGGTTCGGTGATGGTCGAAGAAGAGATTCGACGGTTGTGATGTAGAAATGATTGGACGGAGGTAGTGAAGGCCGCGAGTGTGGCTCGCTTTGACGATGATGAAGCTGACTGCTTCAATATCACGAGGCTACTCATCTTCTTCTTCCTTGTTCTGGTTTGTTTTAGGGGTTTTAGAGAGAGAGAGGGGAAAAACAGTAGAAAGAGAAGGAGAGGGGTAGAGATTGGTTGAGAGGAAAAACCCTAGTTATGATGGGTAGGGTTTAAGAAAGAAATGGAGGGACGGACGAAGGGAAGTGGCAACTGCTAACTTAAAAACCAAAGTCGGTCCACGAAGCGTTAAGGAGTCCCTTTTTAAGGAGACATTTTGTGATTCAGTAAATATAACAGTCAAATCACATTTTTTTTATCCGAAGTTCTTTGGAAACGTACAGAGAAGAAAGACATCCACTGGAGTAGTGTGTGATCTATGTGAACATACACGTGTCGTTTATTTACCTAGCAAATAAAAAACTGCAACATTTCCTGTAAGTGTGAGAAATGAACCAAACGAACCTCGAATTTTTATTTTTTTTTATTTTTTTGTTTTAGCATAACGTACCTCCAATCAAAGAAAGAAAATATAAAATAGCTAGATCAATTTTGTGGAAGTAGGTTGGGTACGATTGAAAGCAGGTCCCGAGGCCTAGCTCACGGACTTGAAGCGGGCCTTAAATGTTCAGCAAAATTAATTGGACTATGTTTTTTTTTTTTTTTTTTTTTTTTGGAGTAAATTTGGTCAATTTTAAAGCTACATTGAAATTAGGGAAAACACTGTACTCCACGTGGCACTTTTACTTTCTATTTAAAAAAGTGTACAAAAAATACACCTAATCTTTTTACATTGTGCAAAAATACCCCTCTTGACATAAATTAATGATGTAATACATGTTTTGCCCTTTTACTCTTCCGAATATACCCAATGGATTATATATGCTACTAATCTCATAATAGGAGTGTTATGTGCACATTACCTTCTTCTTTTTTAAAACTTTATTCTCAATGTATATCTCTAATTTTTTTTATTTTTTATTTATTGAAACATTGAGAATTTGTAGAACAACGATTTGAATTTGTTGAGACTTCAGTTTATTGTTTTCTACTCAAATTTTTTTTCTTTATTTTATTTTTTTTCAAAAAAAAAAAAAGAAAATAAATCCCAATATCAGTGTACACTGGTTTTTGGAGTTTGGAGCATATTTGTTTTCTTTAGTTTGCACTTTATTTTCGTTTTTTTATCTTTTTCTTTATTTTTATACTTTTATTTTCTATTTTTATCTTTACTTGTCCATTATTCGCATCCTATAATAGTGTGTTTTTCGTCATTTTGCAAAATTATTTATTTTTATATATTTTATAAAATAGTTCAATAAGGGTAATTTAGTCAAGAGGGGCCTATTTTCACCAAATTGAAACTTTAGGAGTATTTTTTGCATGTGATAGGCTTCCTCCAATAGTGTCATTTTCGGTCATTTTACAAAATTATTTATTTTTTTATATTTTATAAAATGGTTCAGTAAGGGTAATTTAGTCAACTTAGAGTTTAAATTTGTCAGAGGGATCTATTTACACCAAATTGAAACTTTAGGGGTATTTTTTGCACATAAGAGTTGTAATATGCACTGTAAGCATACTTTAGGGATATTTTCTTCACTTGACCCTTGAAATTAGGACTGATCTTATTGCATATAATCAAATTTATTTTAAAACATATACATTGTTGGTCCAAAGGTATTCCAAATGGTGTTTGCCTATTTAATGTAAAGAAATAGTTATTATAGAGCTTACAAGGGCTTATACCACCTGCATTATGGTGCATAGAGGTTTAAATCATCACAAAGGGGTAGTATTATCTTTTACCATCTTGTGACACAATTACACAAGTGTTTGAGATAGAACATTGCAAATGTTTCACCTGTGCGAGCTATTTTCTGTGTAAACTAAGGTTCAACACGTGAAAATTAGCTACAAGGTTTTGTAAGGGCATTATGGTCTTTTCACAGGTGTATTACATGTGTCTACATATGTTCAGACAACTGCATTGCATTGAACATCCTTGATTTAGATTGCATTATGAATTATATAGTCTCAGGATATATACTGTGCTGTGATTGACAAGTGGTTGTTACAAGGGCCCATTAGTCTTTTTATTTGAAGTTCAGGTGTGTGACATGTAGCTGTGGTCCTAGAGTGATAGTATATACACTACAAATGCATTTCTTAGGGACTACGTTCGGATAAAAATGTTATTACAGCCTTATTACTGTGAGGTGTAATTTCTGGTATACTAGAGGACAAAATAGCTGAGGTGGCAAGGGTACATTGGTCTATTCACAAGAAAAATGCCAGACCATTCTCTGGCCAATGATTGGATGAAGGTGTCATGTGTATATCCTTCTTGGAGTAGGATTTGTATAGTAAGCTCAAGTATATATATGTTGTTACAAAAACTTTTAGGGTTTTAAGCTTTGTTAAAAACCCTAATAGTGACCAGCATTTTTAATATACTCGAGAGATTCAAATGAACAATGATTTTTGAGGTTTATCTTCACTAAATTTTTCCTTATTGCTATACTTATCATGGAGGTTGTTTTGCTGTCAAAGTTGCTGGTGTAAGGGCTGGTTTGAAGGTTGAGTTGAGCTTGAGGTTATTGTCGTGCCAAGTGAAGGTTAAGACAGGTATATTTGAGCTATTTATATTTGCTGAGCACTTTTTCTTGAATTATACTATGTTACAAATGATTTTTGATAAGCGCTGAAATATGCACATTTCAGCCCTAATCTTGGATATTTTAGACCTTTCATCTATCCTTACTTTCTCGTTTTAGTCCCAATTTGTGTTTTCAGGTCAATAAGGTTCAAAAGGGCTAAATTCGGTTCATTAAAGTCATTTTGAAGTCAAGCAAATGCGGGAAAAAAGTTTTAAAAATTGCCAAAAAGGGGCCTACGATCGATCGCAACTTCATCACGATCGATCGCAAGTACACGTCAGCAAATACAACAGCCACGTCATCATCACGATCGATCACAGTGGCCACGTCATTATCACAATCGATTGCAATGCCACATCACCGGATAAGGTCGAATATGCTAGCCAATCACGATTAATCGTACCAATATTGTGATCGATAGCAAAACTGTGCGATCGATCACAACTTACACTGAGAAGATATTTTAAGCTCAGTTTTGGCCCGAACTTCACCTACCAAGGGGCTACGGGATTGCATCATTTTTTGGCATATTTCTGGCTTGTTTTGGCTCTAAGGGTCACATATAAAAGGTGTAATACCCCTAATTTCAAAAGGGATAAAAATGAAATTTAAATTTTATTTTTGTGCATTTTAAATTGATTTTGTATCTATATGCTTATGTGTCCAATTGTTTGTTTATTTTAATTCATTGTGTTATTTTTTTTTAATTGTTTGTTTATTTTAATTAAGGGTGTAATTCTTTATTTGTTTGTCTATTTTAATTAATTGTTTTATTTATTTTATGTGTTTTAAGTGATTCGTTGCTTGCTTATTTGATTTAATTAATGGGTTTTATTAAATTAATTATTTATTAAATATTTAATTTTTGAACAGGGTAATTATGTAATTCCCATTAACTGGGGTTTTAGATACGTTTTAGTTAGGGTTTTTGGAGCCGTCTCATAAGCATCTGATATGTAACTAAACTGGGTTACTTTGTGGGCCGACGAAGTTAGGGCTCTGTGGATTAGGGTTTTAATCTTGCAATTATAAATACCTCAGTATATGTTAAACCTAGGGTTACATATTGTCGTAGCTTTTACACGGAAAAGTCTGCCAAATAGAGAGAGTTACAGAGGGAGTTTTGGTGAGAACAGAGCAGTTTGTGAGAATTTCGATTGGGGTTCCAAGGTTTAACCAAGGAGAAGGAAGGAGCAGAGGTTCTAAGAGGTTAGACAAGTTTCAGTGGATGTCGGAAAAAAACTGAGACCAACGGCAACAAGGGTTTGTTTGCAAACCTATTCAGGTAAGTTCTATCTTCCTCTTTCCCTTTGGGCCGTGTTCTGTGCACCTAGATAATCTCTAGGGTTTAATCAAGCAGAAACTGGAATTGATATGTTTATTATGTGTTATATTGTTGGTCTGTATGTGTTGAAATCAATATCTGTTACAGTGTATGTAAGTGTTGTTTCAGTTTTCTGTACTTTAAGCATATGGTTTCTATCGTAGCCTTAGTTTCTGCATTTGATTGCAACTCTTGTAGACACAATATAGGAACTCTACTGGGGTTATACAAAACTCATAGGGATGTTATTATTCTATTTTAAATACGTGTGCAATCTGTTCCGTTTCTATTTCTGCATATAGTTTCAGTTTTGATACTAAAAGCTTGGTAAGTTCAATAGCAACCTTAAGCTTTGTAATTGATTTAACCTTGGAGATGTTAATAGAGTGATAATAAACCCTTAAGATCGGTTTAAGAAATAAACAGAAGGGTAGGGACTGATCAGAGAACGAGCAGATAGGTAAAAACGGAGCAGAGATGAACTGGAGGCTCTCAAGAGGGAGAGAGCCGGCTCTAGGAAGTCAAGAGCCGGCTCCCCTTCAGCAAGAGCCGGCTCCTAGGGAATTGGAGCCGGCTCCAATAGGAGAAGAGCCGGCTCTTCCATTCCAAGAGCCGGCTCCAATTTGTTTTACGTCCAGAAAGTGTTTTCTAGGGCTCTGTTTGGTGTTTTGAGCACTGTTTGAGCTTCTAAGTGATGCTAATGAACTGTAGGGACTTAACAGAGGATCTACGTAGTTAATTTTAAGTGTTATTAAACTTATTGTTGTATGGTTTAAGTCTCTAAGATAAAGGATGAAGCAGTGTAAAAATATACAACGGTGTATGCTACTAACAGAAGAAAGGAACTAAATGGCTTGATTAAATTTTAGAAATTTAATGAGACTTCACGGAGGGATTAAATAGTTAATTTTTGGGTGTTATTAAGACCCTAAATTGATTTAAGGTTAATTCTAAATTAACGGATCAAACTGTATAACACTTATGTACATTGTATACGGTTAGTGGATAGAAGAAGTTTTAAATACTTAAGCTTATTTTTAGGCATTCCAGTGGGATTTAATATATTTATAAAATGGTTTTAAATATATTATAGGGTCATTGATGTGTTAGATGTGATCTATGCAGGCTCTGGATGTTAGTTATTGATTTATTAAATCATCTCCTGCAACTATATGGTTAATTGTTTGGATTTAAATTGCTGAAACACTTAAAAATCTTCTGTAATTATTTGGATATTGGTTTTGGATTTTAAATTATT